CAGCACCGCCAGACGCCACACGAGCAGGTCGAGCTCCCTCAGGCGTAGCACCCCCAGGCTCAGCACCTCCAGGCGTAGCACCCCCAGGCTCAGCACCCCCAGGCGTAGCACCCCCAGACTCAGCACCCCCAGTCGTAGCACCCCCAGGCGTAGCACCCCCAGACTTAGCACCCCCAGAGTCATCACCCCCAGGCTCAGCACCCCTAGGCGTAGCACCAGAGTCACCAGCAACCTCCATAGGCTCAACTGCGTCTACCTTGGACACACCTGAAGGGGCAGGACCCTGAGGGGGAAGGCGGTCTACTGGGGGGGGACCTGGTACAAGGAAGAGCGATTGCGGGGGGAGGGACGGAGTACGGTAGGGGAAGAGACGGTAGTAGGGGACTGACTCGTCAAACGTGACGTCCGAGGAGGACAGAACACGGCGAGAGGTGGGGTGGTAGAACTGCCACCCTGGCGCATCAGGGGGGAAGCCAAGGAAGACGCAGGGAGCAGCACGAGGGGACAGGTTGTCCGCAGACAAGTCACGGACAAACAACCGAGATCCCCAGACACGGAACGCAGACGCATCGCCAACCTTCCCCGTCCACAGCAAAGCTGGGGAGGTCTCCGGCATGGAGACCCTGGGCTGAAGGTTGATCTGATGCGCCGCGTACCGAACCGCAAACGGCCACAGAAAATGGGGGGCAGCCGCATGCATCATGGACGTACGGGCGACGTCCATGACCATGCCAATGCGGCGCTCAGCAATCCCATTTTGCTGTGGAGAGTACGAAAGCGTGAAGGTCTGGCGGATGCCTCGTGCACGACAGTAGGCTCGCAGAAGGCCAGAGGAGAACTCTCCGCCTCTGTCAGAGTGCAGACGTAGAACAGGAAAGTCCGAGCCGAAGCTCTGCCTGAGCTGGAGACGAGCTGCGCGGATCCAATCGATCAACACCTCAGTGACATCACCCTTGCTGCGCAAGTGGAAGGCTGTGGTGTAAAGCGAGTAGTCGTCAACCACCAGCAGGAAGTAGCGCTCGTGACCATGTCCACGGACGCAGGCCGGGCCCCACACGTCCATGTGAAGCGTCTGCAGCGGGGCCTCTGTCGGAGGAAACTGGGAGGAGTGAGGGGCAGCCCGCTGTCGCCCCTCGACACAGGGGACGCAGGTAGGGGCAGGCCCCGGAGGAAGGGGAGGGAGGGACCGGGGAAGACCAGAGACAAGGACACGGGACGCCATGCCTCGGAGACGAAGCAGGGAGGGGTGACCAAGGCGGTGGTGCCAGAGGAGAGTCTCGTGAGACAGGAGGCGACACGAGGAGGGGGCAGACTCACGACCAGACCTGGACGCTGCACCAAACACCTGACCCGACGTAGCTACCTGACAAGATGCAGCGACTGGAGGAGACTCAGTGGTCAGTGTGTACAGGCTCGACCCCGGCCGACGTGTAAACGTGGCCAAGTGCCGACCCGTCCGAGCGTCCGTGCAGTGGGTCACCCGCTGGCTCGCAGGAGTGAACTGGTGAACCCCCGCATCCTGTAGGTCAGCACCACTCACCAAGTTCATAGAGAACGAGGGGAGGTAAAGACCAGACAGGGTGCCAGAGGGGGCCGCCGGACACGGGAGGACAGTGGAGAAGTGAGCAAGGACAGGGCCCCCAGAGAGGTCTGCCAGAGAGACTGCAACTGGCCGACCAAGCGGCGTAAGTGTGGTGCGGTCTCGAAAGTAGGAGCGAGAAGCCCCCGAGTCAAGGGTGAAGGTGTGGGTGGCCGAAGCCGACGCAGTACCTGAGAGAGTAGACTCCCCAGTACCTGAGGAAGCAGACGCACTAGCACCTAGAGCAGCAGTCTCGCTAGCACCTAGAGCAGCAGCCTCACCAGTACCTAGAGCAGCAGTCCCGATGCCCGGGTCGGGCAGAAAACACCAGTAACAGTCACCCTCATCACTAATAGTCACAGCATACATGGCAGCAAGAATAGCATCAAAATCAAGGTCAAAGATAGCTACTCCCGCCCTAGACAGCTCGCCCCAGCGAGGGATCTCAGTGGCCTCAGGGAACTAGTGACGCCAAGTGTCCGTCAGGCGGCCAAAGCAGCGCTGGGTAGAGTGCACACCCCCGCACTGCTCACCCGCGCGGTCGCCGGTGCGTAGGACGTAGGTGCACGGACCAGTACTCCCACCTCGCTGGCGTGCAGCGTACCACTCACGAAGCTGCTAAGCGGGGGGGGGGGATCTCACGAGTGCGCTGCTACTGCTGCTGCTGCTGGCGCTGACCACCACCAGAGCCAACCCTCTGCACAGCACCACTTCGACCAGCTCCACCTCCTCCGCCGCCGCCTCCTCCACCGCCGCCACCTCCGCCACCTCCGCTCCCACCGCCACCGCCGCCGCCGCCTCCGCCTCCACTGCCGCCACCTCCACTCCCGCCACCACCCCCACCGCCACCCCCACCCCCTCCGCCGCCTCCACCGCCGCCTCCACCGCCCCCGCTAGCTCCTCCAGCGCCCCTGCCCCCCTTGCCCTTGCCAGGGCGGCGTCTCCCGCTAGGGGTAGACGCCGCACCGACCGACTCAAGACCAACGAGGTCGGCCGCAGCAGCAGAGGCAACAGAGGGCAAGAGAGGAGAGGGGGGGCACCCCTCAAAGACAGGGGCGCGAGGGTCACCACGAGAGGCTCCTACAGCGACTATGCTCTTCTCTACTTCTAGGAGGCGTTCCTCGAGGAGGTCAACGGTGAGGGTGGTGGGGCAAACAGAGAGAAAGTGGTCCCTGACCGGGCGAAGGGTGTCAGGGAGGCGGGTGACTATGTAGTAGAGGGTGATGTACATAGGGGGGGGGTTCTTGGCGGAGAACTCAGCGGGAAGGGCAGCGCGGTAGCGAATGTCACTGGTGCGAAGGTGCGTAATGAAGTCAGCGACTGTGGGAAAAGCTGCGAGGTTAGGGAAGAGGTACGGCAGGATGAGGCGGCTAAGAGCAGCAGTGGCAGGGGAAGAGTAGCGTGCAACTACAGCATCGTACAAGGTCTTAGCACTCTTGTACTGGCTTAAGTGCGCACGCTCAGAGGTAGGCAAGTGGCGACGCACAACAAGACGTGCAGCAGCATCGCGTGTGGCCCACTGTGAGCGAACAGTGGCGTCAGCATCAGCAGTAGGGGCAGGAGAGGCACCAGAAGTGAGGTTAAAGAGGGAGAGACCATCTGCCCTATCGCACTGTAGGAAAAGCTGCAGGTCATCTACCCAGACGTCAAAGTCAATGGCCCGGCCCTCAGCGTCAAAAGCGAGGACACTAGGGGTAGCCATGACAGCAGTAGACTAGCAGCGCGAGCAGCAGGCTAAGGGCAGTGCAGTGGCAGAGGTGCTGCTCTTACCGGGCAGGCGAGAAGGACCGAGGCTCGCCAGTAGGAACGGGGCCGCGACCACAGTGACACGTTGTAGCGGACAGGGCGGCTCGGTGGCTCGGGAGTACCAGCGACTCAGCAGCAACGCCGTCTCGGGCGGCTCGGCGGCAACGGCGGCTCGGGCGGCTCGGCGGCAACGGCGGCTCGGGCGGCTCGGTGGCAACGGCGGCTCGGTGGCTCGGGCGGCTCGGCGGCTTGGGCGGCTCGGCTGCTGCAGGGGCAGCGGCGGCTGCTGCAGGGGCAGCGGCGGCTGCTGCTCAAGGGACGGCAGTGGCCGCTGCTGCAGGGACAGCGGCAGCCGCTCCTGCAGGGACGGCGGCGGCCGCTCCTGCAGGGACGGCGGCGGCCGCTGCTGCAGAGACGGCGGCGGCCGCTGCTGCAAGGGCGGCGGGTGCTGCTGCAGGGGCGGCGGCTGCTGCTGCTGCGGGGACGGCGGCCGCGGCCGCTGTAGCGACTGCAGCTGCTGCTGCTGCAGAGGCGGGACGGCGGGCCGGGAGAGGCCGCGAAGGGCGGCGGACGAGCCGTGAAGGGCGGCACGAGGGGCCGCGGAGGGCGGCGACCGGCCGTGAAGAGGCCGCGAGGGGGGGGGGGGGGGGGGGGGGGGGGCGCGAAGGGCGGCGACGGGTCGTGAAGGGCGGTGCGAGGGGCCGCGAAGGGCAGCGACGAGCCGTAGGGGGGGCCGTAAGGGCGGCACGAGGGGCCGTAAGGGCGGCGCGAGGGGCCGTAAGGGCGGCGCGAGGGGCCGTAAGGGCGGCTGGAAGGGCCGTCAGAGGGGCCGCTAAGGGCGACGCGAAGGGGTCGTAAGGGGCCTAGAGATGGCGCGACGGTAGGGAGGGCACGCGGGGCGCGACTCGGGCAGGAGCGAAGCGCGTTCCGGGCAGGAAAAAAAAAATCGATTGGGTGGGCCCTAGGAAGCGTTCCCACGAGGGAACCCGCTCTATACCATGTGAAAATACGAGGAATGAAATGACTAAGGGAAAGTTGGGTACAAGTACAAACCCTAGAAAGCTGTACCCCATATGTGCTACCCCACTACAGCCTACAGTAGCTATGTCATATAAATCTGACATTAACTTCGGTTTTCTTCGAGAATCCAAGAATTTTGCTTATGTCAAAAATCAAACCGTTACCGTAAAGCAGTTCGTTAGTTTAGTCATCTGCAATATCGCGGTATTCGGAAGGTATGCGGATCGAAATTTGACTGTGACAGAAAGCATTATGTTTTAAAAACTTTTGTTTCTATTTTCCACACAAAATCACATTATTTGTACACTCTATGTAATTAGCAAAAAAAAAATCAAATAGATTGCGCGAATATGCATACGCTTCGCAACCCTACGACGACTTTGTCGCCTCTTGTTTTTTTTTTTTTTTTTGAAAATGTGCCTTCAGTGTGTGTGTGTGTGTATGTGTGTGTGTGTGTGTGTGTGTGTGTGTGTGTGTGTGTGTGTGTGTATATATATATGTGTGTGTGTGTGTATATATAGCTAGATAGGTTAGAATCTACCAGACTGCGGAACTCTTTTATGAAGTATACCGCGTCTCGCTTATTGTGTATCAACATCTTTCATCGCACCTGTATTGGTCCGTTGCTGCACTCATCATCCTCAAGATTATCGCCATGGCCTCGCTCGGTTCCTCGCTGCACGCACGGCCGATCCGAGTACTCTCACCACACGATCTACTGCGATTGCCGCATTGTTTTTTGCACGCGACGGTACCTTCGCGAAAGGGTTTCGCGAAAGGCTTTCAAACCGTCGCACGCGTCGCCGACTCCGCCGCTTCCGCCGATTTCCCGCCTCCTTCCACCAGCTCATCAGATGAGGTGACCGTGCGACACATTGCGACGAATATCTTTTGTCGCAGCTCCAAACGCGCATTTTATCGCCAGACCATGTCCTCCGTGCTCGCTCTTCGCGCTTGGCAGCAAAACTGAGCGGCGCACCATACCCTCCTCGCAACCTCTTCCCCTACCACTCCGCCCCCATTTCCTCCCCCTCCCCTCCCCCCTCCCCTCTCCCTTCTCCCCTCTCGTATATATTTTCCATTTATGCCCCATCCTCTCCTCCCCCCCTTTTCCCCCCTCTTCGGTACCCAGCGCACCTCCCTGCAGCCGTATTTCCACTACCCTCAACGTTCCCACTCACTTCCGCTCCTCCCCTCTCCCCCCCCCCCTCTCCCTCCCCCTCTCCCTCCCCCCTACCCCTCCCCACGCCCCTCCCCCTTCCCCATCCCTCCCCCAGCGCCTTCCCCTGGAGCCCTACTTCTACTACATGGGCAACCGGCGCGGCATGCCTTCTGCCCCGCGCACTCCCCCTCCCCACACACCCCCGCTTCCCCTCCTATTCCCCCCCCCCCACCCTGTCAGCAGCGCGTGTCCCTGGAGCCCTACTTCTACTACATGGGCAACCGGCGCGGCATGGGCGCGTACGGGGTGGAGTTCCGCGAGCCCGCGCACGGGCTGCAGGGGGAGGGCGACCTGGCGGGCGTGGGGGTGTACGCCGCAAGGGACATCGACAGCCGCGGGGGCGCGCGCGTGGTGATGGAGGTGCCGCTGCCGCTCATGCTGAGCGTGTCGAGGGACCCCCCCTGGATGTTCCACCCGGACATCGTCCCCATGGGGCACCCTGTCTTCGACGTGATATCTGCTGCTGAGGGGGAGGTGAGATGAGATTAGTGTGGGGTTGTGCTGGTGGTCGTGGGGGAGGGAGGAGTTGGGGGGGGTTGGGCTGCGGGGCGGGTGCCTTCTTCCTCCCGTCCTGCCTCTCATGCTGAGCTGAGCGCGTTCTTGGAGAATGCTCAAAGAACACATGCTGAGCATGTTGTGTCGTCGTCGAGAGACCCCTGTTGAGGGTTCTCAAAAGTGAGCTCAACATGCTGAGCCTGAGCGTGTCGAGAGGCCTCCTCGATGTTCCACCAGCACATTGTTGTGCCCCTGTCTTTGCCGTAATTGCCGGCTATGTTGGTGCGACTCTTGAGAATTCTCAAAAGTCGCACCAATGGAGCACCCTGTCTTTGCCGTTACTGCCGCTGCTGAGGGGGAGGTGAGAAGTCAACAAGTTGAATGCTCGCATTGGCTTGCCTGGCAGCTGCCAAGGGATGAGTCATCCCACCCACCCGACTTCATTCGACCCGACCCGGCCCGACCTGATCTGACCTCGTCCGAACCAGACCAAACTAACCTGACCCTACCGGATCGATTGACTGACCAGGACTGGCCCGACGAGGCCAGGCAGGCATGGGAGTTTAAACTGGCGACTTCCCGCCCTACACTCATTCACTCTTTCCCCTTCCCCGACTCTGCCATGATGTTGTTCTCTCCCGCACTCCCCCTCTTCCCCTCCCACCCCAACTGGGACTGCCTACTAGCCTGCCTTCTCCTCCGCGCACAGCACTCCTCACCCGCGTCTCATGCCCACCTGGGACCTCCTTATGGCCGGGACCGCGCCAACGATCATTCAGGCGCCTCAGAAACTCGCTCGCACACTCTTACCTCCCGTTTCAGGCCAACTGGGACCTATCTGACCTGTCTGCTGCTCCTGGCACTCAACTCCTCACCTGCTTTCGTGGCCGGAAGGACGCCAACAATCTCTTAGGCGCTTCAGAAACTCTCTCGCACACTCCCATGATCCCATCCACCTCCCCTTTCCAGGCCAACTGGGACCTCCGACTGGCCTGTCTGCTGCTCCTAGCGCTGAACTCCTCACCGGCCTCGCGTGGGCGGGAGGACGCGTACGGGTCCAAGCGGCCGCACTTCCTCACGGAATATGCTGACTTCCTGCCCTCGCCGCTGGACTGCCCCTCGCTGCTACTCTCCTCACAGGTATGATACCATTTGACGTCTCGAAGCCTCCTAGCAAGCTCACACGTCATAGCTACCAGCACGCTCACATGTGACAGCTACTCACATGTGACAGCTACTCACATGTGACAGCTACTCACATGTGACAGCTACTCACATGTGACAGCTACTCACATGTGACAGCCATTCTACAAGTTGTGTCTGCTAGTCACCGCACCTCATCACCGAGTGTGCCATTCTCCTGTTCGACCACCCGTTCCCTCTTCTCTCTTCAGAGGTAATCTCTTGCTTGTTGGCTTGCCACGAAGAACAACCACTGCTTGCCTATGCGCTATAACAGGCCACCACCTGCCGCTGTAGGACGAGGGGCTGGTAGAGGAGGCAATTGGATGACATGACATGACATGGCAGTGAAAGAAAAACACAAGTACATGCGTGGGTGCTTGCGTAACTTACAACAAACTGATAAATATGCGTGCACAACCCACCTGCATCCCCCACCTTCATCCCCCACGTGCACAACCCACCTGCACCCCCCCTGCCGTGCGGCACAGGAGGAGCTGGCAGCGCTGCAGGACGAGGGGCTGGCAGAGGAGGCACGGCACAACCCACCCGCACAACCCACGTGCACCCCCCCCTGCTATGCCATGGGCCACAGGAGGAGCTGGCAGCGCTGCAGGACGAGGGGCTGGCAGAGGAGGCACGGCAGCAGCAACAGCGAGTGAAGGCATTCTGGCGATCACACTGGGGGGTATGTGTGTGGAGCGCACTGGGGGGTATGTGTGTGGAGCGGACTGGGGGGTACGTGTGTGGCGCGCACTGGGGGGTATGTGTGTGGAGCGCACTGGGGGGTACGTGTGTGGAGGGTGTGTGGGCAGTGTATGTGGGGTATGTTGAGAGTATTTGTGGGATACATGTGGGGTAGAGTTGGGGGTGTGGCAGGGGTTATGGTGTTTACGGTACTGGAGTTAAGCAAGCATGGCTTCGGTGGTGGCGTTAGAAAAGAGAATGGTGATTGACGGCAGCAAACGCATTCCTCACGCCATCAGACCCTGACCCCATCATCTGTTGCCATCCCTAAATCTCTCTCTCCCTCACTCCCTCACTCCTCAGCCTCTCACCCTTGCACCCCTCTCTGCCGCACTCCACCCCTCCACACCACCAGTCGGATTCATCACCGCATCAGCTGCAGCGGCTGGCACCCAGCGAGGCGGACATGCTGTGGGCTGTGGGCATAGTGCAGAGCCGAGGGGGGGTGAGGCACACTCCCATGGGCACCGTCAAGACCGACACGCACATGCTGCTGCCCTACGCTGGTACCTCCTTTCTCTTCTCCACTCTGGTAGGCTGAGTGTTGAGTCGACTCAAAGGTGCAGAGCCGAGGGGGGGTGAGGCACACTCCCATGGGCACCGTCAAGACCGACACACACATGCTGCTGCCATATGCTGGTAAGCTAAATGTGTTGAGAGGTGCAAATCAGTAGTGCGATACAGATGGGTGACCTCGAGCCACACATACTCCCATGGGCACTCTCAAGACGGACACGCACATGCTGCTGTCCTACGCTGGTGGGCTGTCCTCTTCCCCCTCCCAGTCAGCCTTACATGCTGTTGGCCTATGCTGGTAGGATCAATGTGTTGGCTCAACTGAGAAGTGCCGAGCAGAGCAGAGGCTGCGTGAGGCACACACCCATGGGCATGGTCATGAACCACACGCACATGCTGCTGCCGTATGCTGGTAGGATCAATGTGCTGAGTTGACTCAGAGATGCAGAGCAGAGGGGGGGTGCGGTGAGACACACACACACACACACACACACACACACACACACACACACACACACACACACACACACACACACACACACCCACCCACACCCACACACCCATGGGCACTGTTAAGACCGACTCGCACATGCTTCTTCCTTATGCTGGTGGGCTGGGCTTTCCTGTTCCTCTGCGTTCCACCTTCCTCCCTTTCCTTGCTCATGCTCTTACTCTCATCCTGCTGCTGCCCTTCCGCTATCCGCTCGCTTCTGACCAAACGTGCTCGATCCACTCCTTTGCCCCTTGCTGTGCGTGCTGCCCCACACATGCTGAATGGCGTGCTCGACTCACACGTTAAGCCACGCACATGCCACACACATGCCACACACATGCCACACACATGCCACGCACATGCCACGCACATGCCACACACATGCCACGCACATGCCACGCACATGCCACACACATGCCACGCACATGCCACACACATGCCACGCACATGCCACGCACATGCCACACACATGCCACGCACATGCCACGCACATGCCACGCACATGCCACACCCACACACATGCCACGCACATGCCACGCACATGCCACGCACATGCCACGCACATGCCACGCACATGCCACGCACATGCCACGCACATGCCACGCACATGCCACGCACATGCCACGCACATGCCACGCACATGCCACGCACATGCCACGCACATGCCACGCACATGCCACGCACATGCCACGCACATGCCACGCACATGCCACGCACATGCCACGCACATGCCACGCACATGCCACGCACATGCCACGCACATGCCACGCACATGCCACACACATGCCGCACACATGCCGCACACATGCCACACACGTGCGACACACATGCCACGCACATGCCACACACATGCCGCACACATGCCGCACACATGCCACACACATGCCACACACATGCCACACACATGCCACACACATGCCGCACACATGCCACACACATGCCACAGAAACACTGAACCACTCGTTCAGCCCGATGTGCTGGCTGCACTGGCGCAAGACGACTTGCGATACCCGTGCTACTGTGTGTTGCCATGCTCGAACCCCCTCTCTTGCCCCCCTCTCAAACCACTCTCTTGACCCCCGCTCTCCTTGTGCGTTGCCGTGCAGACATGCTGAACCATTCGTTCAGCCCGCTGTGCTCGCTGCACTGGCGCAAGAGCGACCGCGTCATGGAAGTGCGCGTGGATGCCGGCCACATCGTGCGTGCTGGCACTGAGGTGCGCCATGGGGCCGCCGGGGGTGTGGGGCAGTGGGGCAGTGGGGCAGTGGGGCAGTGAGAGTGCTGGCATGACACTGTAGGGAGCCGAAGGAGGTTTGGTGAGTGATGGCGATGAGGTGGGTGATGGAAGTGCGCGTAGACGCAGGGGAGATCGTGTGCACTGAGGTGGGTGTGTGGGGCTGTGAATGTGTGGCAGGGAGATGCGTTGTGTCAGGTGGTGTGGTGTGCAAGCGTGTGGACGGCGCGGATAGGATAGTGCGCGCCGGGCCGGCAGTGAGGTGGGTTGTGTGGGTGTAGCGACGATGAGCAAGTGGTGGCTGGAAGTGAGTGTGGATGCAGGGTAGATGGTGCGAGGTGGCACGGAGGTGGGTTTGTGGGGCTGTGCGTGGGAGAGGCTTTTGGCAATGCGTTGAGGCAAGTGCTGGCAGTTGAGGCAAGTGCTGGCAGTTGAGGCAAGTGCTGGCAGTTGAGGCAAGTGCTGGCAGTTGAGGCAAGTGCTGGCAGTTGAGGCAAGTGCTGGCAGTTGAGGCAAGTGCTGGCAGTTGAGGCAAGTGCTGGCAGTTGAGGCAATTGCTGGCAGTTGAGGCAATTGCTGGCAGTTGAGGCAATTGCTGGCAGTTGAGGCAATTGCTGGCAGTTGTGGCAAGTGCTGGCAGTTGAGGCAAGTGCTGGCAGTTGAGGCAAGTGCTGGCAGTTGAGGCAAGTGCTGGCAGTTGAGGCAAGTGCTGGCAGTTGAGGCAAGTGCTGGCAGTTGAGGCAAGTGCTGGCAGTTGAGGCAAGTGCTGGCAGTTGAGGCAAGTGCTGGCAGTTGAGGCAAGTGCTGGCAGTTGAGGCAAGTGCTGAGGCAAGTGCTGGCAGTTGAGGCAAGTGCTGGCAGTTGAGGCAAGTGCTGGCAGTTGAGGCAAGTGCTGGCAGTTGAGGCAATTGCTGGCAGTTGAGGCAATTGCTGGCAGTTGAGGCAATTGCTGGCAGTTGAGGCAATTGCTGGCAGTTGTGGCAAGTGCTGGCAGTTGAGGCAAGTGCTGGCAGTTGAGGCAAGTGCTGGCAGTTGAGGCAAGTGCTGGCAGTTGAGGCAATTGCTGGCAGTTGAGGCAATTGCTGGCAGTTGAGGCAATTGCTGGCAGTTGTGGCAAGTGCTGGCAGTTGAGGCAAGTGCTGGCAGTTGAGGCAATTGCTGGCAGTTGAGGCAATTGCTGGCAGTTGAGGCAATTGCTGGCAGTTGTGGCAAGTGCTGGCAGTTGAGGCAAGTGCTGGCAGTTGAGGCAAGTGCTGGCAGTTGAGGCAATTGCTGGCAGTTGAGGCAAGTGCTGGCAGTTGAGGCAATTGCTGGCAGTTGAGGCAATTGCTGGCAGTTGAGGCAAGTGCTGGCAGTTGAGGCAAGTGCTGGCAGTTGAGGAAATTGCTGGCAGTTGAGGCAATTGCTGGCAGTTGAGGCAAGTGCTGGCAGTTGAGGAAATTGCTGGCAGTTGAGGCAATTGCTGGCAGTTGAGGCAATTGCTGGCAGTTGAGGCAAGTGCTGGCAGTTGAGGCAATTGCTGGCAGTTGAGGCAATTGCTGGCAGTTGAGGCAATTGCTGGCAGTTGAGGCAAGTGCTGGCAGTTGAGGCAATTGCTGGCAGTTGAGGCAATTGCTGGCAGTTGAGGCAATTGCTGGCAGTTGAGGCAATTGCTGGCAGTTGAGGCAATTGCTGGCAGTTGAGGCAATTGCTGGCAGTTGTGGCAAGTGCTGGCAGTTGAGGCAAGTGCTGGCAGTTGAGGAAATTGCTGGCAGTTGAGGCAATTGCTGGCAGTTGAGGCAATTGCTGGCAGTTGTGGCAAGTGCTGGCAGTTGAGGCAAGTGCTGGCAGTTGAGGCAATTGCTGGCAGTTGAGGCAATTGCTGGCAGTTGTGGCAAGTGCTGGCAGTTGAGGCAATTGCTGGCAGTTGAGGCAAGTGCTGGCAGTTGAGGCAAGTGCTGGCAGTTGAGGTAATTGCTGGCAGTTGAGGCAATTGCTGGCAGTTGAGGCAATTGCTGGCAGTTGTGGCAAGTGCTGGCAGTTGAGGCAAGTGCTGGCAGTTGAGGCAAGTGCTGGCAGTTGAGGCAAGTGCTGGCAGTTGAGGCAATTGCTGGCAGTTGAGGCAATTGCTGGCAGTTGAGGCAATTGCTGGCAGTTGAGGCAATTGCTGGCAGTTGTGGCAAGTGCTGGCAGTTGAGGCAAGTGCTGGCAGTTGAGGCAATTGCTGGCAGTTGAGGCAATTGCTGGCAGTTGTGGCAAGTGCTGGCAGTTGAGGCAATTGCTGGCAGTTGAGGCAAGTGCTGGCAGTTGAGGCAAGTGCTGGCAGTTGAGGCAATTGCTGGCAGTTGAGGCAATTGCTGGCAGTTGAGGCAATTGCTGGCAGTTGAGGCAATTGCTGGCAGTTGTGGCAAGTGCTGGCAGTTGAGGCAAGTGCTGGCAGTTGAGGCAAGTGCTGGCAGTTGAGGCAAGTGCTGGCAGTTGAGGAAATTGCTGGCAGTTGAGGCAATTGCTGGCAGTTGAGGCAATTGCTGGCAGTTGTGGCAAGTGCTGGCAGTTGAGGCAAGTGCTGGCAGTTGAGGCAATTGCTGGCAGTTGAGGCAATTGCTGGCAGTTGTGGCAAGTGCTGGCAGTTGAGGCAATTGCTGGCAGTTGAGGCAAGTGCTGGCAGTTGAGGCAAGTGCTGGCAGTTGAGGTAATTGCTGGCAGTTGAGGCAATTGCTGGCAGTTGAGGCAATTGCTGGCAGTTGTGGCAAGTGCTGGCAGTTGAGGCAAGTGCTGGCAGTTGAGGCAAGTGCTGGCAGTTGAGGCAAGTGCTGGCAGTTGAGGCAATTGCTGGCAGTTGAGGCAATTGCTGGCAGTTGAGGCAATTGCTGGCAGTTGAGGCAATTGCTGGCAGTTGTGGCAAGTGCTGGCAGTTGAGGCAAGTGCTGGCAGTTGAGGCAATTGCTGGCAGTTGAGGCAATTGCTGGCAGTTGTGGCAAGTGCTGGCAGTTGAGGCAATTGCTGGCAGTTGAGGCAAGTGCTGGCAGTTGAGGCAAGTGCTGGCAGTTGAGGCAATTGCTGGCAGTTGAGGCAATTGCTGGCAGTTGAGGCAATTGCTGGCAGTTGAGGCATTTGCTGGCAGTTGTGGCAAGTGCTGGCAGTTGAGGCAAGTGCTGGCAGTTGAGGCAATTGCTGGCAGTTGAGGCAATTGCTGGCAGTTGAGGCAATTGCTGGCAGTTGTGGCAAGTGCTGGCAGTTGAGGCAAGTGCTGGCAGTTGAGGCAATTGCTGGCAGTTGAGGCAATTGCTGGCAGTTGTGGCAAGTGCTGGCAGTTGAGGCAATTGCTGGCAGTTGAGGCAAGTGCTGGCAGTTGAGGCAATTGCTGGCAGTTGAGGCAATTGCTGGCAGTTGAGGCAAGTGCTGGCAGTTGAGGCAATTGCTGGCAGTTGAGGCAATTGCTGGCAGTTGAGGCAAGTGCTGGCAGTTGAGGCAAGTGCTGGCAGTTGAGGCAATTGCTGGCAGTTGAGGCAATTGCTGGCAGTTGAGGCAATTGCTGGCAGTTGTGGCAAGTGCTGGCAGTTGAGGCAAGTGCTGGCAGTTGAGGCAATTGCTGGCAGTTGAGGCAATTGCTGGCAGTTGAGGCAATTGCTGGCAGTTGTGGCAAGTGCTGGCAGTTGAGGCAAGTGCTGGCAGTTGAGGCAATTGCTGGCAGTTGAGGCAATTGCTGGCAGTTGAGGCAAGTGCTGGCAGTTGAGGCAATTGCTGGCAGTTGAGGCAATTGCTGGCAGTTGAGGCAAGTGCTGGCAGTTGAGGCAAGTGCTGGCAGTTGAGGAAATTGCTGGCAGTTGAGGCAATTGCTGGCAGTTGAGGCAAGTGCTGGCAGTTGAGGAAATTGCTGGCAGTTGAGGCAATTGCTGGCAGTTGAGGCAATTGCTGGCAGTTGAGGCAAGTGCTGGCAGTTGAGGCAATTGCTGGCAGTTGAGGCAATTGCTGGCAGTTGAGGCAATTGCTGGCAGTTGAGGCAAGTGCTGGCAGTTGAGGCAATTGCTGGCAGTTGAGGCAATTGCTGGCAGTTGAGGCAATTGCTGGCAGTTGTGGCAAGTGCTGGCAGTTGAGGAAATTGCTGGCAGTTGAGGCAAGTGCTGGCAGTTGAGGCAATTGCTGGCAGTTGAGGCAATTGCTGGCAGTTGAGGCAATTGCTGGCAGTTGAGGAAATTGCTGGCAGTTGAGGCAATTGCTGGCAGTTGAGGCAATTGCTGGCAGTTGAGGCAAGTGCTGGCAGTTGAGGCAATTGCTGGCAGTTGAGGCAATTGCTGGCAGTTGAGGCAATTGCTGGCAGTTGAGGCAAGTGCTGGCAGTTGAGGCAATTGCTGGCAGTTGAGGCAATTGCTGGCAGTTGAGGCAATTGCTGGCAGTTGTGGCAAGTGCTGGCAGTTGAGGCAATTGCTGGCAGTTGAGGCAAGTGCTGGCAGTTGAGGCAATTGCTGGCAGTTGAGGCAATTGCTGGCAGTTGAGGCAAGTGCTGGCAGTTGAGGCAATTGCTGGCAGTTGAGGCAATTGCTGGCAGTTGAGGCAAGTGCTGGCAGTTGAGGCAAGTGCTGGCAGTTGAGGCAATTGCTGGCAGTTGAGGCAATTGCTGGCAGTTGAGGCAATTGCTGGCAGTTGTGGCAAGTGCTGGCAGTTGAGGCAAGTGCTGGCAGTTGAGGCAATTGCTGGCAGTTGAGGCAATTGCTGGCAGTTGAGGCAATTGCTGGCAGTTGTGGCAAGTGCTGGCAGTTGAGGCAAGTGCTGGCAGTTGAGGCAATTGCTGGCAGTTGAGGCAATTGCTGGCAGTTGAGGCAAGTGCTGGCAGTTGAGGCAATTGCTGGCAGTTGAGGCAATTGCTGGCAGTTGAGGCAAGTGCTGGCAGTTGAGGCAAGTGCTGGCAGTTGAGGAAATTGCTGGCAGTTGAGGCAATTGCTGGCAGTTGAGGCAAGTGCTGGCAGTTGAGGAAATTGCTGGCAGTTGAGGCAATTGCTGGCAGTTGAGGCAATTGCTGGCAGTTGAGGCAAGTGCTGGCAGTTGAGGCAATTGCTGGCAGTTGAGGCAATTGCTGGCAGTTGAGGCAATTGCTGGCAGTTGAGGCAAGTGCTGGCAGTTGAGGCAATTGCTGGCAGTTGAGGCAATTGCTGGCAGTTGAGGCAATTGCTGGCAGTTGAGGCAATTGCTGGCAGTTGAGGCAAGTGCTGGCAGTTGAGGAAATTGCTGGCAGTTGAGGCAATTGCTGGCAGTTGAGGAGGGAGTTGTCGGCGATTCGCATGGATGCAGGGCAGATAGTGCATGCTGACGCACAGCCATGTTCCCGTTTAGGCTCACAAAACCACCTGTGCCTCCACAAAACCAGCCGTGCCTCCACAAAACCAGCTGTGCCCCCGCGGTTCTATGCCTCGAATCCGTCCTCTTCATCTCTGTCGCCCGTCCTCAATCCCCGTCCCTCATTCTCTGCCTGCCCACTCCGCCCCACCTGCCCCCCTGCGCGCCCACTACTTTCCCGTCTGCCCGCCTGCCCGCCCGCCCTGCGTCCCCATGTGCGAGCAGCTGACCATATCATACGTGCCCAAGGCAGACAACCGCGCTCTCATGCGCTCCTTTGGCTTCTCCATCACTCACGTGCGTGCCCATCACTCACGTGCGTGCCCATCACTCACGTGCGTGCCCATCACTCACGTGCGTGCCCATCACTCACGTGCGTGCCCGTGCCCGTGCTTGCATGCTTCCATCTGTCACTGCATTCTTGGCCTGTCACCTCTTGTTTTGCTGGCTTCTAACCTCACGCTTCTCACCTCTGCAACAATTCCTTATTACCCGGTTTTACTGTTATGTGAATGCATCATTTCTCTCAAGCCGTCATGCCACCCTCTTTTGCTTTGACCAGCCCTGAGAATTTCCGCGGGCAGCTGATTCTTTCAGGTGAAACTCACCAGATGCACCCTCACTTGTCTGTCCTTTCGCCCACCCTTCCTTCTCTTCTCTCATGCCACCGTCCAATCAATCTTCCCGCCTTCAGAGCCCTTGGGAGCAGGCCACCACCTCAGATACACTTTTTGCTGTCCTGGCTGTCACCCAACTTGTCCTCTTGGCTCGTGCCATCATCCCGTCAACTCTTCCCGTTTCAGAACCCTTGGGAGCAAGTAACTCTCGCCCATGCTACACCTGCTGCACCACCATCTCTCACCTCCTCCTCTCCCTCCACCTCCACCGCCCCCTTCACCCCTCCGTCACACCACATTCACCGGGACAGCTTCCTCTCGGCTTTTGACCTCATAGCCACCGATGATGACTATGACTATAACCGTAAGTCACTATAACCGTAAGTCACTATAACCGTAAGTCACTATAACCGTAAGTCACTATAACCATAACTGAGTGTGCTTGTAAAAGGCTGTAGCCGTATGTATGACAGTAAGTGCCTATAATGTGACTCCAACCGCAAGGGACAGAAATCTTCAGTGCCGAGAACATTCGATACCATGATGCCACTCACATGACCGAAAATCCGTTTGTGGTTTTCGTTCCAAGGGACAATAGGCAACATCAGTGCGGAGAAAGTGATTCATGCCATGCTCCAGCCTCTCCCACTCTTTTCCCTCCGTCGCCTCCACCACAAGCTGGTTGGTTGCAGTTGAGCGTGTTACCACGCCGCACAGCTGCTCTCAGAAAGGGGTGGGTGACTCTCCTCTCCGCGCAGCCCCTTTGTGGACGTGGCGCTGGTGCAGGCACTGTGTTGCCTGCTCCCTCGCTTGCACCCCCCAATCATCGCCCCCACCATGCTCCTCTCTCACCCCCCAATCATCGCCCCCACCATACTCCTCTCTCACCCCCCAATCATCGCCCCCACCATACTCCTCTCTCACTCCCCAACCACCAGCCGGCGACTCTCCTCCGGACCCCTTTGTGGACGGGGCGCTCGTGGCGGCGCTACGCTGCCTGCCCACGTGGACCAATGGCGACGTGCCAGCTGTCCCCTCGGAGGAGCTGCAAGCCGTGCGCTGGCTGCAGCAGCGATGCTGGGAGCAGCTGGGGGCGTTCCCCACAACGCTGCAGCAGGATGAAGCAGTGCTGGGTGAGTTGGGCGAGGAGGAAGGAAGCCTTTTTTTCTTTAGGTAGCCTTCCAGCGAAACCAGCAGTGCCAGGAGCAGCTGGGGGCGTTCCCCACCACCCTGGAGGAGGATGAAGCTGTTCTGGGTGAGTTGAGTTGCTTTGCTTCACACATCGCAGGCTCGGAGAAGCCTTTTTGTTATAGTGTAGCCTGGCAGTGAAGCACAAGGGTCGGCAGCAACTGACAGTGCCGGGAACAGCTGGGAGCGTTCCCACAAATGTTGCGAAGAAAGGAAAGCTTTGAGGGTGAGTTAGGATAAAAGCTTAATTTCTTATAGAATAGTCCGAATAGTTATCCACGAGAGACACGAAAGGGGTTTGCTGCATGGCGGGTTAAGCAGTCGCAGGGAGGTCATGGGTCAGAAGGCTGTGAATGACTACGAGGTGGGTTTTGAGCCGCCTCAGAGTGAGGCGATTCTTGAGTTGCCTCAGAGTGAGGCGATTCTTGAGTTGCCTCAGCAGTGAGGCGGCCTCAAAAGTGGGTGCCATGAATGACTACGAAGTGGGGAGGGGGATGGTGCCAGTAGATCCATTCGGTGTTACATACACGGAACTGCTGTTTCAGCGCTTCTAGGTGTAGTCACACAGTGCACTTCTCCCTTCAGCCTCCCCTTCCAGCATCCTTCCGTCCTCCATCGCTCTCACCTTCTCATGGCTCACTTTGAGGTAAATCAGAGGTACAGAGAACACGTCTGCAAGGTGGCGGTGGTGGCCTGCTATCAGCTCCACGCTAACAGCTCACTGCTCTCAGCTCACTGCTCTCAGCTCACTGCTCTCAGCTCACTGCTCTCAGCTCACTGCTCTCAGCTCACTGCTCTCAGCTCACTGCTCTCAGCTCACTGCTCTCAGCTCACTGCTCTCAGCTCGCTGCTCTCAGCTCACTGCTCTCAGCTCACTGCTCTCAGCTCACTGCTCTCAGCTCACTGCTCTCAGCTCACTGCTCTCAGCTCACTGCTCTCCCATCCGTTCTCGCCCGCTTGCCTCTTCCCTCCTGCCTCGTGGGCTGTTGTGAGCAGAGTCGGAGGGAACAGAGGACAAGTCAGCACGCTGGTGGGCTGCTATCAAGTATGTACTCTCACATTCAATGCTCCCAAGTGCTCCGATGCTTGGCACTGTTGCATTCGTGCAACTGTACATAACATGAACCATCTGCACCATTTTATGCTTTCCTTCCTTTTCCCACTCATTGTTGCTACCGTGGTGGTTCCACCTCCAATCTGGTTCCACCTCCAATCTGGTTCCACCTCCAATCTGGTTCCACCTCCAATCTGGTTCCACCTCCAATCTGGTTCCACCTCCAATCTGGTTCCACCTCCAATCTGGTTCCACCTCCAATCTGGTTCCACCTCCAATCTGGTTCCACCTCCAATCTGGTTCCTCCTCCAATCTGGTTCCACCTCCAATCTGGTTCCACCTCCAATCTGGTTCCACCTCCAATCTGGTTCCACCTCCAATCTGGTTCCACCTCCAATCTGGTTCCACCTCCAATCTGGTTCCACCTCCAATCTGGTTCCACCTCCAATCTGGTTCCACCTCCAATCTGGTTCCACCTCCAATCTGGTTCCTCCTCCAATCTGGTTCCACCTCCAATCTGGTTCCACCTCCAATCTGGTTCCACCTCCAATCCGGTTCCACCTCCAATCCGGTTCCACCTCCAATCTGGTTCCACCTCCAATCTGGTTCCACCTCCAATCTGGTTCCACCTCCAATCTGGTTCCTCCTCCAATCTGGTTCCTCCTCCAATCTGGTTCCTCCTCCAATCTGCCCACATGCAGGTATCGCATGGATCGAAAGAAGTTTCTGGTGAAGATCATCGACGCTTTAGATATTTACCTCGACAGGCTTGTCCTCTGAACCTGGACAGGCGTGTCCTCTGAACCTGATCAGGCTTGTCCTCTGAACCTGGACAGGCGTGTCCTCTGAACCTGATCAGGCGTGTCCTCTGAACCTGGACAGGCGTGTCCTCTGAACCTGATCAGGCTTGTCCTCTGAACCTGGACAGGCGTGTCCTCTGAACCTGATCAGGCGTGTCCTCTGAACCTGGACAGGCTTGTCCTCTGAACATACTAATTGTACAATTTAAAAAAGGATAGAGTTTTTAGCCTGCATTTGGAACGCACCACAAGGCTTGCAATTTAAAACCGAAATGTAAAATAGTGAACCCCGATCCAGCTTGATAAGGGTACCGTCACCCCCCGGATATACCCCCATGGGGGGCAATAATAAAACAGGTTTTTTCAAGGGGGTGGGCTTATAATCGAGTAAATTTATAAGCGCCGGCGTTTATAAAATGACATTCATATTTTTTATATTGTTTAACACCAAACTGTAGGTCTCGTGCTTGCCCTTTCAATCGAGTCGAATTTACATGGGGTCGTCTGTGAAATTCTCGCGCGCGCTGGGAGACACACCCAATCTGACTCACATCCAGCTCCTGACAGCTCCTGCTGACTGGACACGCATCCAGTGCAGGGTCCGAATGTGAAGGGAACCGAATCTGCAACATATCTGCCTGCTAAAGTAAAAATCATTACAACGTTTTGTACACATTTCAAATTTTAAAGTTTACGTGCGCTTATAATAAAACTAGTTTTTTCAGGGGGTGCGCTTATAATCGAGGAGGGGATATAAGCGCCATATGCCAATTAGAAGCGCCAGGCGCTTATCCTAGGGTGGCGCTTATATCCGGGGGGTGACGGTATATTGGGCCAATACAGAACTGATTCAAAACTCAAACGTTTGGATTGAACTGATGTGATAGGCTGGTCGCCAATCTGTGTTTTTAATGGTTCCCGCCGAATCATTGTCAACCGTCGCATGTTTACGTGCACCACCCGTACGATTTGTTGTACCTAATTTCTTTTTGTATAAATGCATATACATTGTGACACCATCTGTAGATCACACAGAAACGTACAGTTCCAATAACTGCTCCACTAGCTGTCATATGGTCCATACGGGAGGAACGAACAATATTAAACCTACACTTCTTTAATTGATGCTTCTTGCTCTACATAAATCCTGATGAGGTCCTTACGTGTTGACTCAAGGGACCTCTCAGATGGCATAGACAAAGTGATGTCAGCTCAGATTTCACAGTTTGACCCCAAACTTCTCCAACTGTTTGTCTATACCCCAAAGAAACTGTTGCAAGCACACTGATTTCCTGGCCGCTTCCAGATTCACAAGCTGCTACTCTTTGACATCTCTCCCTCCTGGCTTGTCACTCCCTAGGAAACCCCCAAGTAACAGTCCATAGCCACAATCCTCCCCTTGGCATTGCTGCTCTTGCCTGTCACCCGTACCTTCACTCTTTCTTTCTTCCGCTCCGCATTCAATCCTATCTATCGCCTCCACTTTGTCAGACTCAGTAGTACCCAGCTGGCTCCTCTCCTCTCCAGCTCTCGTCGAAACACCATTCCTATCTCCAACACAACCATAGCCCATTCGCGCCAGCAAGCAGGCCACTGGAAATCCCAAGGGCAATGTTGGGGAAAAGGAGGAGAGGGAGAGGTGGAAGAGGGCAAAGAGGGCTGCAGAGAGCATGGCGGCGCCCATCCTGGGGGGAAAGGGGCAGGAAAGGGGATAGTGCAGGGAGAAAACAGGAGAAGGATACAAGAGAGGCAATATCAAGTGAGTGAAGATCGGAAAGAACTGGTACACTTTTAATAATTTAATTGATGCGAGGAGTGTGGGCTATGGAAATTGTCACCAAATACAGTGGTAAAGAACAATATATTTGGTTGTACGCTATAGTTGGTGTAGTGAGGTGTAGGATTGGGGTTATGCAACTTTACAGAGGGGTTGTTGAGCTTCAAGGGAATGACGCGAAGTTGGTAGCATGGGGAATTGGGACATTGGGAAGAGCTACAAGCGCCTCGAGGAGCAGGGAATCTGCAGCAACCAGTAAGGCACATGGCGACTCGAACCCAACCCAAGGCCATGGAAATGGTCGTGACTCTGGGTAGGGAATAAAGCAGCCTAGCCTAGACACTAGAACCTGCTCTCTCGTTTTGTTTGCCTACTATAGTGGATTCAATTCACCATTCTAAGGCTACGGCAGCTAGGTGATACGCCACTGAGGGCAGCCAGCTTGTGGGAGTAGGAATCTCTCACAAAACGAGAGAGAGCTTACTGGCGACATGGATTGCCACGATCAACGTGTGCAGCGTACGTACTCACGGCGGGAACGATCTCCGTCGCGGAGGAGACGCTCGAGGGAGCGCGGGAGATCGCCGACGCGCTCGCCACGTCGGGCGGCGTACCGCGCGGATCCGGTGACGCCGACGGACGTGCGAAGGGAAGAAAGCGGGGAGGACCTGCGCGTCAGGTCAGAGCCGTGGAGGCGGCCGACGATCAGCAACCCGTGGAACCTGGCAGAAGGCCAACGCGGGACGGGTGGAAGGCGTGACAACGCCGACGACGACGGATTGCCCACTGCGCGGGGCGGCGGAAGGCGCGAAAACGCCGACGACGACGGATCGCCCACTGCGCGGGGCGGCGGAAGGCGTGAAAACGCCGACGACGACGGATCGCCCACTGCGCGGGGCGGCGGAAGGCGTGAAAACGCCGACGACGACGGATCGCCCACTGTGCGGGGCGGCGGAAGGCGTGAAAACGCCGACGACGACGGATCGCCCACTGCGCGGGGCGGCGAAAGGCGTGAAAACGCTGACGACGACGGATCGCCCACTGCGCGGGCCGGCGGAAGGCGTGAAAACGCCGACGACGACGGATCGCCCACTGCGCGGGGCGGCGGAAGGCGTGAAAACGCCGACGACGACGGATCGCCCACTGCGCGGGGCGGCGGAAGGTGTGAAAACGCCGACGACGACGGATCGCCCACTGCGCGGGCCGGCGGAAGGCGTGAAAACGCCGACGACGACGGATCGCCCACTGCGCGGGGCGGCGGAAGGCGTGACGCAGCCGACGAGGAGGAGTTCCCCACTACGCGGGGCGGCGGAAAGCGCGACATCGCCAACGATGAGCAGGCTTTCCCTGTTGCGCGGGAAGGAGGAGGGCAAAGGTACAAGAGGAGGGATGAAAGGGAGCGAGCCCGACACGGAAAGGTGCGGGGGGAGGACGAGGAGCACGGGAACGAGGAGTACTCACCTGCGGGACGGCAGGGAGAGGGAAAGAGAGCGTCAGCGGGTGTCTACCGCTCGCCTGAGCCGAGACCAGGATATGACCGCCGACGGCGCATGGCGATGGGTGAAGGTCGGTGGGCCGAGCGGGAACAGCGGGAGGAGAGGTTGGACCATGAGGAGCGACGTCAGCAGAGCCCGCCTGAGTGGGAGCGGGTGTGCAACAGAGAAGGACGAGAAAGGGGAAGGCGATCACCGCACGGCTCCAGAGCAGAAGGAGGAGGTCGGCAGCGGAGGGAGCAAGAGTGGCATCGCCAGGAACGTTCACCTGTGCGGGGAAATGGACGTTGGGAGGATCAGGAAAGGTGCAGGAGACAGAGCGAAGACGACCAGAGGAAAGGTCAGAGTCCAAGTGGCACTAGGAGGCTATGGCAGCATGGAGAAGGATCTAGTGGGGCCAGGGCAGCTCGTGAGGGACTGGAGCGAGCACTGTACGGGACAAGCGCAAGAAGCAGAGGAGACAAAGGAAAGCAGCGAGGGGCTGCTCTGTCAGATCGGGGAGGCTCGGGGAGTTGGGATTGGGGGAGATGGGGCGCAACGGCAGCACCACGGGTGGAGGTGCCGGTGCGCTTCACAGGGAACGAGAACACAGGACCAAGCCTCAAGAACTACCTGATGCAGATCAGGAATGTGAAGTATCGGTGCGATCGAAGCGGGATGGACCCCATAGACTTCTTCTTGAGCCTGCCAAACACACTCGGGGGGGAAGCAGAAACCCTGTATCGCATGAAGATGGGAGAGTGGTTGAGGAGGGCCGATGAAGATGAGGAGGACCCGACGGTGCTATTTCTGGACCGGCTGAGAAAGCAGTTTCCAGGGCACACAGCGGCGCGCATCAAAGAGTTTCAAGAGTTCAAGAGGAGGGACGAGGAATCTTTGCTAACGTACTACGGCCGGCTGATGAATCTAGCGGAGGACGTGGTGTGCACGGACAGCAGTATGGTCATTAGTAAATTCCTAAATGGGCTGGACAAGGGACTGGCAGGGGGACTGAGAATGCGGGTCTACGAGCTGGGAGCAGACGCGACACCTGAAGAGGTGTTTGAGCTAGCAGAGAGAGTGGAGCTGGCACAGAGAAAGTATGAGGTGTACCTGCCGCGGCCAACAGAGAGGAAGAATCCTGCTTGGGCTGCAGCAATGATACCTGAGACGGGAGGAAGAGAAGAGAGCCGACAGGAAAGAGGAGCTGAGACACGCACCTGCCACCGATGCAAGCAGCCAGGGCATCTGATGAGAAATTGCAGGAATTGCGACACCTGTGGGAAGCCAGGACACCGCCGAAGGGACTGCCCGGATGCACCCAGCTGCGAGGTGTGTGGGAAGCGGGGGCATAAGGGGAAGGACTGCTACCAACGCACAGGAGGGCCAAGGAGGACGCCAGAGGAGATAGAAGGGCAGATAGGGAGATTGCAAGCGCAGCTGCAGGCACTGGGAGGGAAGAAGGAGAAAGAGGCAGGATTGTATGCAAGGGAAGAGGATGACGAAGCAGAGGTGATAGATGAGCCAGCGCTTGAGTACAATTTCATGGTGTTGCGCAGCCGAGAGGAGTTGGGCCTGCGCAGCGGGGGCAGGGATGGAAGAAAAGAGCAAGTGGTGAGGGAGAGGAGCAGGCCAAAGAGAGCTCCAGAGGAGAAGGGTAGAGGGGAAGAAGAGCCAGCCAGGCATCCCAAGGAACGGCTAGCCAGTCAAGCGACGGTGCTGGTGGCAGGAGCGGGAACAGTGGCAGTGGGAGGGGAAGTGGCAAGAACTGCGATCATAGATACGGGGGCACAGAGTGTGATGTTGGGGAGGCGGTTAGCAGAGAAGCTGGGGCTGAACGGGCCGGGACAGCACATACAACGAGGAATGCTAGTAATGACAGCAGAGGGAGGTGAGCCTAAGTCCCTGCCGTGCACCAAGACTCCAGTGGAGATAGTCCTGATGCCGGGGAAGGAGGAGCAGACTAGTATAAGGCTGCAGTGTGGGATTTCAGACTCAGAAGATTTTGATGTACTGCTAGGCACAGACCTGATTTGGGGAGTAGGGATGACCATCTGCACGTGGAAAGAAAAGGTAAAGTTTCGGAAGCAGTATTGGGAGCGGGGGAGCAAGACGGGAGAGCTGCCTGTGTCATTCACTAAGCAGGAGCCAAAGAGGGCGTACACGGGCGAGCAGATGGGGACCAGGGAGAGAGGGAGAGCAGGGATCGTGGGAAAAGCAGCAGCAGTCAACGCATGGCAAGAGCCGATAAAGCTGGTCGAGCTGTTCGGGGGAATAGGAGCAGGGCTGGCAGCAGTGCTCAAGGCAGGAGTGGCCGTGAGGGAATGGGTATACGTGGAAAATAACGAACAGGTGAGGAAGATGGCAGAGCACCATGCGAGAAAGCTGCAGCAAGAGTACCCCGAGCTACTAGAAGAAGCAGTGATAGTGAAGGCAATGCGAGGGACAGTGACTGATGTAAGAAGCATCACGCGGGAGGTGGTGAGGAGCTGGGGGCATGTGGACCTGCTGGTGGCCGGATGGGAGTGTCAGGCTGTGTCAAGGGCAGGGAAAGGAAAGGGATTAGGAGATCCAAGAGGGGCGCTGCTGGTGAACTTGCTGTGCATCATAGACTGGATTAAGGAAGGACAAGAGAAGGTGGTATACCTGCTGGAGCACCTGGATCTGGAAGGGGACTGCAGGGAGCCTGTCAGGAAAGTGCGGGAGTTAGTGACAAGGAAGCTGGGGAAGGGGGTAAGATGTGATGCGGCCAGGCTGGGGGCACGAGCTCATCGTGTCCGGCGATACTGGCAGAACGTGGTCACAGATGAGCAACTGCAGCAGGAGCTGGATGGAATACGCAGGGACTGGAGCAGGACCGTGCGAGAGATTTTAGAGCCCGGTAGGACAGCGGCACCTGTTAGGAAAGGCAGGCATGAGACACAATGCCCATGCAACAAAGTGGGGGCAGAGCGCAGGGCGTGGCCGACATTAGTGGGGTATGAAGGGGCAGCTGGGTTCAGAGAGGAAGACGGGCTGCCAGGAGAAGGCATGGTGTATGACTGCCGTTCGAAGAGATGGGAGGAGCCAAGTGCGTTAGAAAGGGAATTAGCAATGGGGTATGGAGAGGAGGCCACCAAGGCAGCAGGGGTGACAGAAAAGGAGAGAAGAAGAGCATTAGGACAGGCCATGGACGGAGAAGTTATGCAGTGGTTACTGAGGCGGATGTGGAGAGGGCTGGTGCTGGAAGAGGAAGGAGGAGAAGAGAGTGTGGGGACAAGGGTGAAAAAGGTGGGGGCATGGGTATGCATGGCAGCCAAGGAAGAGCCCGCATGGGTCGTGGGGAATGCAATGAGTGAGAAAGGAAAAGAGGCAATGCAGGAGGTGCTGGCGAGGTATAGGCACGCCTTCGCGTTTACCATGCAGGAGCTGGGGAAGTGCACTGTGAAGGAGATGGAGCTGAAGCTGGTGACGGATGAGCCGGTATTCCAGAGGAAGCGGAGGATGACCCCTGGAGATGAGGATGTCTGCAAGGAGAAATGTAAGGAGCTGATGGAAGCAGGGTTGATACAGAGGTCAGAATCAGAGTATGCAACACCGACGGTAGTAGCTGCCCGAAAGGACCTGCTGGGGGAGGTGCTGAGCAGACGCATGTGTGGGGATTATCGGGCACTGAACAAGGTGACAGTGCCTGACCGCTACCCAATGCCCACAGCTGAAGATATCTTTGACCGGCTGGGGGCAGGTGAGGTCTTTAGCACGCTAGACTTAAGACAGGGGTTCAACCAGATTAGGATAAGGAAAGAGGACGTGCGGAAGACAGCGTTCCATGGAGCAGATGGCCTATACGATACGAGTGGCTGTTCATGCCATTCGGGCTGCGAAACGCGTCTGCCATCTTTCAGAGAGTAATGGACAGCGTGCTGAGGGGGCTGGAGTGCGCGGCGTGTTACATAGATGATGTAGTAATTTTCAGCCGGACGGAAGAAGAGCATGTGAGAGACGTGGAGCAGACACTGAAGGCGTTGGCAGCAGCTGGGCTGACATGCCATCCGAAGAAGTGTAGGTGGGGAGAGGCGACAGTGCAGTACCTGGGCTATGAGGTTAGGGGCGGGCAGCTAGGGATCCACCAGGCGAAGATTGAGGTGCTGAGCAGGCTGCAGCAGCCAAAGGACCGAAGCGGACTAAGGGCGGTACTGGGATTTCTGAGCTATTACCGCAGGTTCATCCCGAATTTCAGCAAGCGGGCTGCACCACTGAACGGGCTGCTGAAGGAGGACAGGAAGTGGGAATGGGGGATGGAGCAGGAAGCAGCATTGAAAGATCTGATGGAAGCGGTGCAGACAGCAACAATTCTGCAGCTACCCAAGACTGACAAGCCCTTTTGCCTATACACCGACTGGAGCAGCCAAGGCATGGGGGCAATCCTGTGCCAGGAGTTAGATGGGGAGGAGAGGGTTGTGGCATACGCAAGCAGGAGCTGCAGCCCAGCGGAAGCCAAGTACAGCTCTTACCACGGAGAGGGGCTGGCAGCCGTGTGGGCTGTAAAACACTTCAGGGTATACCTGCAGGGAAGGAAGTTCACACTGATCACAGACCATCAACCCCTGCAATGGCTGATGACCCACCAAGGGCTGACAGGGAGGAACGCGCGTTGGGCCGTGACGCTGCAAGAATATGACTTCAAGATACGTCACAGGCCGGGAAAGACTCTGCAGCACGTGGACGGGCTCTCAAGGAACCCGCCGGCAGCAGAGCCAGTACACACGCTGATGTTGCTGGCAAGGCAAGGGGAAGAGGCAGCAGTAGGGAAGCAAAAGGGGCCAAAGGATATTTGGGAAGATCCAGCAGCACTGCGATGGATTCAGGGAGAAACTGATGAGGAGGAGCAGGTCTCTGACAGGGTCAGGGCAAGGGGGCACCATTACCGATGGTACCAGGGACAGCTGCAGTTACAGACGGCGGATGGATGGAAGCTGGTACCTGCACCACAGGACAGGGAGGGAGTGATTAAGGAGGTGCACAGGAAGCTGGGGCACTTCGGGCACGAGCGCACGACGGAACTGTTGAAGACCGGCTGGTGGTGGGAGGGTATGAGAAGGCAGGTCAGGGAATGGGTCAGCGGATGCGAAGGTTGTCAGAGGAGCAAGGCCAGCCTAGCACAGGCGAAGCAGGAGCTGCAGTCGCTGCCGATAAGAGGGTTAGGGTTCAGGTGGTCTCTCGACATAGCTGGTGAACTGCCGCTGAGCAGGGGAGGCAAGCGGTATATACTGCTAATGGTGGAACACGCGAGCAAGTGGGTAGAGGTGTGTGCATTGCCGAGCAAAGATTCCAGGCACGTGGCAAAGGCATTCAAGGGACAGGTCCTGTGCAGGTTTGGGGCACCAGGGGAAGTGCTCACAGATCAGGGGACGGAATTCAGAGGGGAATTTCAGGCACTGCTGGACGAGGCAAGGGTGACACACAGGCTGACATCTAGGTACCACCCACAGAGCGATGGGTTGACTGAGCGCCTGGTGCAAACCCTGAAACGGAACCTGAGGGCATATGGAGAGAAGCGCAAGAGAGACTGGGATGAGGAGTTGGACTGGATTGCGGCGGGGTACCGGTTTGGGAAGCAGGCCTCCCTGAAAGACTATTCCCCGTATAGCATGCTGTTTGGGAAGGAGCCAATCCTGCCAGTGGGAGCACCGAGGGTGCTGACAGATGTGGTGCAAGTCACAGGAGCAGAGCAGTGGGTGGCACTAGCGGAGGCACGGGCACGATACATGCGGGAGATGCTCCCTGCGGCCCTGGAAAACCTGCACACGGCGCAGTTGAGGGACGCACACAGGTATGAGCAGCGGCAGCAGCAGGGTGGCAGGAAGGCCAGACCAGCGGTGATGGAAGGACAAGAGGTGTACCTGCGCAGGGCAAAGAGGGATACGCTGGACGTGGGGCTAGGAACGCAGAGATGGAAGGTGAAGGAGGTGAGAGGGTCTGGAGTGCTGGTGCTGGAGAACGACAAGGGGGAAAAGACGGTGGATCATCAGACCAATGCTGCGGCGGTGAATGGACGAGGGCCTCAGCGAGAGGGTCCTGTGACCCGCGCACGGGCAGCCCGAGACCGGGCACAGGAGGGGGCAGGTAGTGGCTGAGGCCGAGGCACGCAAAGTCTGCAGGCAGGCAGGGAAGTGCAGAAAGAAGAAGGGTAAGAGGACAAGGGAGGAAGCAGCCAAGGGGTGAGGTGAGAAAGAGGAGATCTCCGACAGCTGTCACCAAATACAGTGGTAAAGAACAATATATTTGGTTGTACGCTATAGTTGGTGTAGTGAGGTGTAGGATTGGGGTTATGCAACTTTACAGAGGGGTTGTTGAGCTTCAAGGGAATGACGCGAAGTTGGTAGCATGGGGAATTGGGACATTGGGAAGAGCTACAAGCGCCTCGAGGAGCAGGGAATCTGCAGCAACCAGTAAGGCACATGGCGACTCGAACCCAACCCAAGGCCATGGAAATGGTCGTGACTCTGGGTAGGGAATAAAGCAGCCTAGCCTAGACACTAGAACCTGCTCTCTCGTTTTGTTTGCCTACTATAGTGGATTCAATTCACCGTTCTAAGGCTACGGCAGCTAGGTGATACGCCACTGAGGGCAGCCAGCTTGTGGGAGTAGGAATCTCTCTTGGTAGTGGCTGAGGCCGATGCACACAAAGTCTGCAGGCAGGCAGGGAAGTGCAGAAAGAAGAAGGGTAAGAGGACAAGGGAGGAAGCAGCCAAGGGGTGAGGTGAGAAAGAGGAGATCTCCGACAAAATGGAGGAACTTATCAAAACCAGAAAGGTGGTAGCAGTGGAGACTTGCCAAACCTCACTACAAGCCTCCTGCAAAGCATTTCACCTACCGAGCCTCTATTGCAGGGCTGTGAGCTGCAGCCCTCTGAACAGCAGCTCCTCCGCTACAGACGGTGACACTGCCAACCACAGGAACATCTGTAGCAGGTCCAGCAGGGGGAGGGCCGCAGCAGCTGGAGCAGAGGCAACTGCAGCAGAGGCAGCCATAGCAGAGGCAGCTGTAGCAGAGGCAGCTGTAGCAGAGGCAGCTGTAGCAGAGGCAGCTGTAGCAGCCACACCCCCTCCAGTCCCATCTGGCAGCAACAAACGGCCAGCAACAAGGCTGTGACACTCACAGTTTCGTCCTCCTCGTGCTGCTCCTGCTCCTGCTGCTGCTGCTGCTGCTGCTAGGCAGGCAGGTAGGGGAGGCGGGAGAGATGGTTACGAGGGCATGGAGGGAAGAGGAAATGGGGAGGCGGGAAGGAGAACTGGGGAGGAGGGAAAGGGAAACGGGGAGGTGGGAAGGGGTAATGGGGAAGCGGGAAGGGGAATTGGGGAGGCGGGAAGGGGAAACGGGGAGGCGCGAAGGGATAGGGGGAAGCGAGAAGGGGTAATGGGGAGTGGGAAGGGGAAACGAGGAGGTGGGAAGGGGTAATGGGGAGGCGGGAAGGGGAAACGGGGAGGCGGGTTAGGGGTACCGGGGAAGCGGGGGGTAAAGCAGAGTGGAGAGAGGGGGAAAAAGGGCGTAAGGCAGAGAGGGGACAGGGGGAAGCAGGGCGTAAAAAGAGAGGACGCAAGGTGGGGGCAGAAGGGGGTACGGAAGAAGCAGGGTGAAAGAGGGAAAGGGAGATAGGGAAAAAGGGAAGCAGCGCGGGTAGAAAGAGGGAAGAAGGGTGTAGGGAAGATAGGGGAAAGGGGAAAGCAGGGCGTAAGGCAGAGAAGAGAGAGGGGGAAGCAGGGTGTAGGGAAGAGAGGGAAATGGGGCTTAGCAGGATATAAGGGGGAGAACGCATGGTGGGAGAAGAAGGGTGTGGAGTAGAGAGGGGAAAGGTGGAAGAAGGGAGTAAGGCAGAGTGGAGAATAGATCAAGAGGGGTGTAAGATAGAGAGGGCAAAGGAGGTAGAAGGGTATAAGGTAGAGAGCGGAGAGGGGAATGAAGGGTGTAGGGACGAGAGAGTAAAGGGGGAAGCAGGGCGTAGGAAGAGAGGAGCTAAGAGGGAGAAAGGGGGTAGGTGAGCTTGAGAAGGTGGGGGGGGATGAGACGGAGAATGGGGAAAAATGAGAAGGAGAAAGTGGGGACATGAGAGGGGGGAGGGGGGTAGACGAGAGGGGGAAGGGGGAAACGAGAGGGAGAAGGGGGGGTGAATGAGAGGGAGAAGGGGGGGAAACGAGAGGGAGAAGGGGGGGAAACGAGAGGGAGAAGGGGGGGTGAATGCGAGGGAGAAGGGGGGGAAACGAGAGGGAGAAGGGGGGGGTGAATGAGAGGGAGAAGGGGCGAAAATGAGAGGCAGCGAATGGGGCAATAGGAGGCAGAAGGGGAGGAAATGAGCAGGTGAATGGGGGGGGAACAAGAGGGGGAAAGGGGAGGGGGTGGGAATGAGGGGGCACATCCGGGGAAATGGGAGGGAGAAAGGGGGGAAGTGAGCTTGAGAACGGGGGGGGGGGGGGGGGGGGGGGGGGGAATGAGGGGGAGAATGGCGAAAAATGAGAAGGAGAAAGGGGGAACATGAGAGGGGGGAGGGGGGTAAACGAGAGGAGGAAGGGGGGAATCGATAGGGAGAAGGTGGAGAAACGAGAGGGAGACGGGGAGGCATACATATAGGAAACCCTAATTGGGTTGTACTCGCTATAGAGTACCCCACTGCAAGCTAGACAATGATAACATTCTGACACAACAAACTATTACAATGAAGGAAAATCATTGCCCGAAAGACAGTGAACAATATATAAAACTGCTCAACATGCACTGTATGGGAAGGGTATTAGTGTAGTTTACGAATTTTGTTTTCATGTTTGATTAAATATAAATATGAAAATAAAATCTGGCAAAATCGAATGTAAAGGGTTGCTTCACAACCCAAAAAAATAAAAATAAAAATAATAAAAAAAAAAAACGATCATATTAAGCGCACATGCGCTACTATCCGCAGTCATACAGTACATGTCACTTTTCACAATACACAACTTTGAAAGCGATATACTTTGACTGTTACACTCTAAACTACACAATCTCATTACCTTCTAAAAGCCCCACACACCCTTTCTAAACATTTTGCACTGTCTGTCAGGGCCTACGTTATCAGAATTTTCTTGTCTGGTTGTCTTGATTCCAGACACGTTTTTTGGGCTCATCTGATGGCCGCCTAGACAAGTCATTTCAACTATTCTGATTTTTTAGACAAGGTTCTATATTTATCTGTTTTTTTTGACATCCTTATACGTTTCGTCTGAGACTGCAGACATCGAGTGCTTTCTCATCTGATACCTACCGACAAATTACCCCACCTGGCCAGTTGCCCACCAGGCTAATTGCCCACATGCCCTGTTGCACAATGTTCCCGACGAGACTTGCCACTCGCCGCGTTACCGTGCTGCCACCGCCAGCCTGTACGTTGCCTCTGGTCGGTAACAACACCTCATGTCAAATGCGCCAGACTCACCCCGCTGGCACGAATCTTGACAACTGTTTTGGCATATTCGTGCCAGCGCACGGCAGACAGCTGCATTTGCAATACCGACTGCCCTCAGTGCGCATCGAGTCAGCAGGAGGTGGATGGCACGGCAGCTTTCAGCGGAGAGGGAGACGTTCATGGATCGCGGCTTGGTTCGAACGAAACACCCCCCCACACTCCCCGCATCACCACCAGGGGTCCTTCATTTTACCCTCGTGGGCAAGAGCTAGCCAATGTGTTGTAGTTGTCGCACCACGATGGCCTCTGACTCTCGTATGGAGGCCCCTCCAGCTTCCACTCTGCATGCTTCTCCGCCACCTTCCAGTGCGTTGCCACGCCCACACACTGACCTTGATTTCCTTACCGGGGGGTGTTTCACCACAACTCCCGTCTCAGCTGCTCCTGTTCCTCCTTCGGCCGGTGAGAATGAGAGGCCAGAGTCTCCCGAGCAGCCTTACCCTTTCGCGGAAATGGATGCCGAGCCGCTTATACCTTTTTCCCCCGTTCGATCACTGAGCTCAACAAGCCTTCCTGGGGGTTCGTCATCCGGTCAACCTCACGCATCTGCCTCTCCTGCTAAAAACAATCCTTTCAAATCCTGCTCGCCATTCCTTCCGCCGCGGTTTTCGGGCAAAACTAAGTATGTGCAACATAAGCTTTCTTTTTTCGAAGCGCCCAAGCCCTTCCTCTGCAGGAAATCCCGCTTCTAAGGACGATGGAGGGGAGAGCCGTAATGCAAAGAACCCCGGTCCCGCGATTCAGACGCTGGAGGAGCTGCAGCTAAAAGCCAAGCAGTAGCGGCAACGCCACTTTCCTTGGCTTATCATCGGTGACAACTCCGAAGGTCGTCCTTGCATGAGGTGCAAGATTTGCATGGTGTACGTAGATCCAGAGTCGCAGTACGGCGCTCGGGGCGAGAGAGGCATCGACATACAGAAGCAAACGATGAGGGAACACCAGTGGAGCATCCGGCACCGGGTGGCGAAGGGAGGGCAAAGCCACAGCTACATTAGAGGAAACCTCTGAGTCTGAGAGTGGTAGCGGTAGTGATGATGACAACGGCAGCAATTATGCTAGTGGTGACTCCTCTTAGAATAGGATCTTACGGTACATTAGTTGAGTAGCTGTAGTGGATAATTAGACTATTTCAACATTTTCGTCTGAACGCCTAGACAACTACTTCAAATTTGTCAGAAAGCCTAGACAATGTTACAGCTTTCGTCTGACAATCAGACAAGCAACCAGGACCCGATCTTAACGCCAGACAGGTCCCTAGACTAAAGTTAGCCCTGCTGTCCGTGTTGTTCACCATCCCTTTCCCTGGCGCCTGTTGCCACCAGCATGGAAAGCGCCGCCTCGGCCTCTCCCTCCCCGCCTGCCACTGAAACGCCGACCAGCCAACCGACCTGACCGACCGGCGGTCTCGTTCCCCATAAGCAACTCATCATCGCTACCTTGAGCTTCTTCAAAATCATCTAAAGCACCACCTTCCCCATTCTGCTGATCCCCCCGCTTCGCCTGCAGTGGCTGCAAAACAGCGTCCCCAAAGTCGTCCCCCAAGTCATCTCCTCCAGGAAAGATGTGGCGCCCTGCACGCACTCCAAGCACACAGCAGGGGCAGAAGCACAGAGCAGGGGCAGAAGCACACAGCAGGGGCAGAAGCACACAGCAGGGGCAGAAGCACAGAGCAGGGGCAGAAGCACACAGCAGGGGCAGAAGCACAGAGCAGGGGCAGAAGCACACAGCAGGGGCAGAAGCACACAGCAGGGGCAGAAGCACACAGCAGGGGCAGAAGCACACAGCAGGGGCAGAAGCACACAGCAGGGGCAGAAGCACACAACAGGGGCAGAAGCACAGAGCAGGGGCAGAAGCACAGAGCAGGGGCAGAAGCACACAGCAGGGGCAGAAGCACACAGCAGGGGCAGAAGCACACAGCAGGGGCAGAAGCACACAGCAGGGGCAGAAGCACACAGCAGTGAACCATGTGCAAGAGAAGACACGAACCTTAATGCAGCGCCCCGGTTGCAATGTGACATCCAGCATGGTTGCAACACCATGCAGTGGGTCTCACATTACCAACACATGGCAGGAAACACATGGCAAGGAGAGAGAACTAGAAACCCTTTTACCCAGGAAAAGGGAAGAAAAGCACAGGAGTAAAACGGAGGAGAGTGGGGGCATGGCAAGGGGAGGGGTGGGGGGGGGGGGGGGGGAGGGGGGGGGAGGGGGGGAGGGGGGGGAGGGGAGGGCAGAGAAGGGCTCAATGTCAAGGACGGGATGGAAATGGTCTTAAGAGGAACTTCAAAAGCAAGCAGAACGCTGTACAAGGAAGAGACAGGGTGCGGTATGGAGATACAAGGAAGAGACAGGGTGCGGTATGGAGATATAAGCACAGCACAACCAAATGCGTTGTCAACTTACTGTTTAGCGGCTTCCTGGTGCCTTGGCTCCCTTCCATCTTTGCAGAGCTGGCCGGAGGAAGAGCACCAGCAGCAGACGTAGCAGCAGCGTGCTTTGAAGGACAGTCACGAGCAAGATGGGTCTTGAGTCCACACAAGCGACAACAGCCACCCTGAAAGATGTGCAAAAGACATGCACACACGCACAATACACAAATGCCATACGCTCAACAAGATTGCTACATCGCCAGCAACAACGAAAACCAAAGTGTGTCTAACACAGGGACCTGCAAAAGAAGCATCGCGAAGAACTAACAGCCTTTGCAAGATCTGGAGAACAAATTATCTGATATAAAGAGCACCTTGGGATAGAGGCCGTTGGGGTTCTGTGGACAGTCACGACTGAGATGTCCTTTCTGCTGGCACACAAAGCACACTGCATGCGCTGCTCCCCCTGCAACGCCAACCACCAACCAGCAGCAACGCAGCACAACCCATGGGCAAGTCAGCCATGAGTGGGGGACAAAAGGGTGCTGGGGGTTGCTGATGCACACGAGTGGCGCATGATCACAGGGAGGGCATTCACCGCATGCAGCAAGGGCATCCATCCTCCACCGCCACCGCCACCGCCAAACGGCCCGCAGGTGACGAGCAGCATGGGCAGCGAACCCAATCACCAAGTACCATAAGGCCGTTCAACACGTACCGTTGGCTCGCGGCAAAGGGCAGTTGTGCAGGCGATGGCGCGTGGAGCCACAGTTGTAGCAGACCCCCACTCCCAGCCCCTCTGTGCCGCCCGCACTCTTGTCGTCTTGCTCACGCCCTTCTCCCTCGAATGCTGCTTCCCCCGTCCCCTGCTCGCCAGAGGCGCCTGGCGGCTGCAGCACAGCGGGCGCGGACGCCGAGGCAGCTCGCGGGCACTCGCTGACCACATGGCCCCACTGCCGGCAGAAGAGACACACCTGGCGGGACACCGCGCGCGCACGGATGGGAAATAGCGAGAGAGAAGGAGGGACGGAGTGAGTCATGCAGGGGGTGAAGGAGGGAAGGAAGCAGGGCGGCGAACGTCGTGGAGTACGGAGGACAGTAGAACGTCATGGCAGTGGATCTTACGCTTACTGCAGTAGACGCCGGAAGGCGAGGGCAAGGTGGAGGTGGAGGAGAGAGACGCAGCGACGAGCACTCACCTTGGACACTTTGCACTCCTTTCGTTTCGGGCAATCCTTGGCGGCGTGGTTTGCGGCGCCACACGAGAAGCACTGCTCGCCTGGCCGCTGCCCCGCCACTCGCATGGGGTGCTTCACCATGCGCCTCCGCTTCCCTTCCCTCTCCTCGCCCCCACGCCCATTCCCTACGGCCGTTGGCCCCCCTGCCGCCTCGCCTGCCTCTTCGCTGCCAGGTCCACGCTTGGCTGCTTTCTTTTGCGCCAGTTTCTTCTTTAGCCTCTCCAGCTTCGCCCGCTTCCGTGCCTGCGCTTTCTCACTCAAGGCCTTCTCGCCGCTTCCCTTTCCCCCGCCTTTTTCGCCTTGAGACCCTGCATCCGCCGATACCTTGGTATCCACCATCCTCCTCGCTTGCTCCGTGTACTCGGTGTACTCACACACCTGTTTCATCAGCGAGTGAAGATTTTGGAGGGGGTTGAGGAGTTGAGGGGTTGGAGGGTTGGGGGGTTGAGGGGTTGGGGGGTGAAGGAGTAAAGGGGTTGGGGGCTTGAGGGGTTGGGGGGTTGAGGAGTTGAGGGGTTGGAGGGTTGGGGGGTTGAGGGGTTGATGGGTTAAGGGGTTGAGGGGTTGGGGGTTTGATGGATTGAGGGGTTGAGAATGGCAAAACGGGTGCTGCTGATGGTGCAAGAGCCAGCGGAGGTTTTCTCCACGGCATAAACTCAAGGGTAATGATATGAACAGTCAATCTTAAAGCCCACAGCCCAAGTTCTTCAACCTTGACTCAGGGCGCTTAGCTTAGTCGAAAAATTATGGCACCCACGGTGCTCTCTCTCCCGCCTCTCCCTCCCACACGCTCTTGGTGCTCCCTCACTCGCTCCCTCAAGCACTTTCTTCGCACTCACATGCGCTCTCCTGCGTGTTCCCTCCCGTACTCGCTCTCACGCGCACTCTCCTGCGTGCTCGCTCCCGTACACGCTCTCCCTCGCGCTACCTCTCTCCCCTTCATTGAATGGAAGAGCAACGCAAGAGGAAACCAATTGAAACACAGAACCTACGAAATATGTAAGAAAGTGAGGAAAATCAAGGCGCCCGAGAGACCAACCCGCGCTCGCCCGCCAAGTCACGCTCGTGCAGCTGTCGCCAGCGGTTACGACGGGATGAGAGGGGGAGGCGACGACGGGATGGGAGGGGGAGGCGACGGCGGGATGGGAAGGGGAGGCGACGGCGGGAAGGCGACGGCGGGAAGGCGACGGCGGGCTAAGGGGGAGGCGACGGCAGGACGAAAGGGAGAGGCGACGGAGGGGTGAGAGGGAGAGGTGACGGCGAGGTGGGTGAGAGAGGCGATGGCTAGATCGGTGGTATGGGATGGCGGGGTGCGAGGGAGATGATTGTTGGGTCTGGGGAGAAGGGTTTGGGGAAAGTTGTGAACAAGGGAATGCCAAGAAACTGATAGTGGAATATAAAAAGGGCGTGTAACCATTTCGCTTCTAGTAAATGTGCCCAGTTCTATAACGAGCTTACTAATATCGCGTTTCCGAGGGCGCCGAAATACGCTCGGACAACGAAGTGGTTTGGTTTGGACCCAGACCAATCGACAGCCCCAGTTGTGATCAGCTTTTCACTCGTGTGGCTGTGTGTTCACTTCAGGGCCAGTCTGGTTCACTTCCAGTTCACAAGTTGTTTATTTTCCTGCACCGCTCTGATTCGCTCACCGACCCAGACAGTGTACTGTAAGGGCGCGTGTCTTTTGAAATTTATATGCAAAACTCGAGGTTCTGGTTGAACTATACACAGTTGAACCTAGGTCGACCTAGGCTCGACAATATCGGCAGCTGTAGCCCGAGTCGCTGCTCCTCAACTCACAAATATCACAGCACACTAAAGTTCGACTATCGAAGATGAGCTTTCCCGAGTTGCGGCCAGCCCTCGTAGGTTACCAGGAACACTATTTTCTGAAGTCGCTCGTGCGAACAACATGTGCTGCGACTGTCGTCAATTTCGCAAATACCTAGTGTATGTCAAAAGGACACGAGTGAATTTCGTTCACGCATGGTTTGAGCAGAAAGATCAGCCCAGGTTTAGTGTACTACTTCATCTACAATGCTGTTCTAGGACACACGATGCACAAGCAAAACAATTGGCGACATTTGTGAGAAGGGTTACCATTTAAAGGTAATCCAAATTGCCGAACCTCTAAAACAAAAGATACGCGCCCTAAGCAAAGTTTGACTACAAACGAAGTTTGACTGTAGTTGCTCAACTCACAAATATCACACTACAGTTCCGGTACTGCTGGCAAACGGAAAGGGCTCGGGGAGGGGTGAACCCTAAACACCTGGCGAGTTCCCACGTGTAGAATTGGTCCCGAATTTCTGAGCTTGGCCGTAATACACTGTTCAGGTGCACCTGTTACAGTAACGAGCAGCGTCGCTCCACCGGCAGCACGTGTACCGGGTAGGACTACCGACCGATCCGACCCCGATGTACAGTACTGAGAGTGATAGGTTTGGAGCGCCTGGATTTGGTGATGGGTAGAAACATTTCACGAAAGGAAGAGGTGCTTTACCTGACAAAACACTCGCAGCGCCAAATGTCGCGCCCGCACGATCCCAGTGCCGCCCGGCCGCACCGCCACCTTCCCCGCGGCCTCTCTAGAATCCTGGGTCGGTTGGTCGTACTCGCTATAGTGCTCTCCTTCGTCTACGTATTAGCGCTGCTGACGCGTCCCGCGTTCTTATTCCGTCCCGCGGCGCCTGAGCGGCAGGCGACGGCGCTGCCGCAGAGCGGGTGCGAGGCGGCGCGCAACTGCACGGGGACGCTGCTGGACCGACACGTGTACCTCAAACACGACGCGGAGTTCAGGTGCGCGACTCGTCGAAGCTTCCTCGGAGCTCCTTCAAGGCTTCTTTCGGGTTTTTAATGTGCGTGCCCACCCCTGTGCTTGCCGCTCCGGGGGCCCCTGAACCACGTATGAGGACTGCGCCCGGCGGCGCTGCGTTCTCCTCCCGCCGCTGTCCCCCCCGCCGCTGACCCCACGCGCCGCGTCCCTCCGCGCCGCTTTCCCCACGCGCCGCTGTCCCCCCCACCGCTGACCCCCGTCGCTGTCCCACGCGCCGCTTCCCCCACGCACCGCCTCCCTCCCCATGCGTTACTGCTCTCGCGCGCTCTTACTCCTCCCCTTCCCTCCCTCCCTCCCTCCCTCCCCTAACCCCCTTCCCCCCCTCCCCCCTCCACATGCGCGCGGGGGTGGAAGGACATGGGGCAGCGGATGTGCGGGCGGGAGAAAGGGGGGCGGTGGACGGGATACAACCTGGAGGTGATGCTGCACCGCTGGCTCAACAAATTGTCTCCATGCCCTACCCTCCCCCTCCCCCTTTTTCGCCACACCCCCACCCCTTCCCCGCTTCCCCTTTTCCCCCCTTTTCCCCCTCCCCCCCTCTTCCCTCCCCCCCGTTCCCCCCCCCCCCCCCCCCCCCCCCCCCCCCGCAAGCAGGTGGAAGGACACGGGGCAGCGCATGCGCGGGCGGGAGAAGGGGGGGAGGTGGACGGGGTACATTCTGGAGGTATCGCTGCACCGCTGGCTCAATAGGTCCGCCACCAACCGCCACGTCTGGTGGCACTTCATGACTCTCATGGTGCCTGCCCTCTCCCCTGCCCTCTCCCCTGCCCTCTCCCCTGCTCTCTCTCCCCTGCCCTCTCCCCTGCCCTCTCCCCTGCCCTCTCCCCTGCCCTCTCCCCTGCCCTCTCCCCTGCCTCTCCCCTGCCCTCTCCTGCCTCTCCCTGCCCTCTCCCCTGCCCTCTCCCCTGCCCTCTCCCCTGCCCTCTCCCCTGCCCTCTCCCCTGCCCTCTCCCCTGCCCTCTCCCCTGCCCTCTCCCCTGCCCTCTCCCCTGCCCTCTCCCCTGCCCTCTCCCCTGCCCTCTCCCTGCCCTCTCCCTGCCTTCTCCCCTGCCCTCTCCCCTGCCCTCTCCCCTGCCCTCTCCCCCTGCCCTCTCCCCTGCCCTCTCCCCTGCCCTCGTCCCCTGCCCTCTCCCCTGCCCTCTCCCCTGCCCTCTCCCCTGCCCTCTCCCCTGCCCTCTCCCTGCCCTCTCCCTGCCCTCTCCCCTGCCCTCTCCCCTGCCCTCTCCCCTGCCTCCATCTCCCCTGCCCTCTCCCCGCCCTCGCCCTGCCCTCTCCCCTGCCCTCTCCCCTGCCCTCATCCCCTGCCCTCTCCCTGCCCTCTCCCCTGCCCTCTCCCCTGCCTCTCCCCTGCCTGCTCCCCTGCCCTCTCCCCTGCCCTCTCCCCTGCCCTCTCCCCCTGCCCTCTCCCCTGCCTTCTCCCCTGCCCTCTCCCCTGCCCTCTCCCCTGCCCTCTCTCCCCTGCCTTCTATCCTGCCCTCTCCCTGCCCTCTCCCCTGCTCTCTCTCCCCTGCCCTCGTCCCCTGCTCTCTCTCCCCTGCCCTCTCCCCTGCTCTCTCTCCCCTGCCCTCTCTCAGCTGCCTTCTCTCATCCCCTGCTCTCTCATCCCCTGCCCTCTCTCCCCTGCCCTCTCCTCATGACTCTCATGGTGGGCACGTCGTGACCCTCATGTGCCACTCACGTGCTTCTGTCGTGTGCTGTGCTATGGGTCTGGCGTCTCTGGTGCAACCTCTGTGCTATGTGATATGATGGCGTGATGCTCTACGTTTTGGTATGACCATCGATATTCGTAATGTCCATCGATCGATATAATCATACGAGTATGCTGCGTTCCGTACGACATCATACGAATTATTTATAACCTGATTTCATCATATGATGTGCTACAGCCCTTTCCCCCCCACACGATGGCGGGCAGGCGCCGCCTCGCATGGACGGAGAGGAGAGGGCGCACACAGGCGCTTCTCCACACATGGTGGAGCAGGCCTGACATATGACGTCTTGTGTTGCACTGCCCCTCCTCTCCCCCGCACTCACTACATGGGCGGGCAGGCACCGGACCGCATGAGCAGGGCGCACAAGGGAGTGGTGATGTTCTTCGTGGGGGCGGGGTGGAGCGTGCAGAACAAGCTGCTGCTGCCCAACAAGGACCAAGGCTTCTTCCGCCTCGCCGCCCCGTGCGCCCCGCTCCCTCGCTCCCTTGCTCGCGTGCTCCCTCGCTCTCTTAATCCCTCGCTCTATTGCTTCGTTTCTCCCTTGCTCCCTCGCTCCCTTGCTCCTTGCTCCCTTGCTCCCTCGCTCCCTTGCTCCTTGTTCCCGTTCTCCCTTGTTCCCGTTCTCCCTTGTTCCCGTTCTCCCTTGTTCCCGTTCTCCCTTGTTCCCGTTCTCCCTTGTTCCCGTTCTCCCTTGTTCCCGTTCTCCCTTGTTCCCGTTCTCCCTTGTTCCCGTTCTCCCTTGTTCCCGTTCTCCCGTGTTCCCGTTCTCCCTTGTTCCCGTTCTCCCTTGTTCCCGTTCTCCCTTGTTCCCGTTCTCCCTTGTTCCAGTTCTCCCTTGTTCCCGTTCTCCCTCGCTCCCTTCCCTGCCCAGCTCCTTGCATGCTTGCTTGTTGCCTGCCTGCCTTATTGTTGGCTTAGCACCTCTCATCCGTCTGCTGCCTTCCCTCCTCCCAGCCTGGTGGTGGACTTGGGCATCCTGGGAGTCATGCTGGACCAGGTATGGCTCATGCTGGACCAGGTATGGCTCATGCTGGACCAGGTATGACTCATGCTGGACCAGGTATGACTCATGCTGGACCAGGTATGACTCATGCTGGACCAGGTATGACTCATGCTGGACCAGGTATGACTCATGCTGGACCAGGTATGACTCATGCTGGACCAGGGATGACTCATGCTGGACCAGGTATGACTCATGCTGGACCAGGTATGACTCATGCTGGACCAGGTATGACTCATGCTGGACCAGGTATGACTCATGCTGGACCAGGTATGACTCATGCTGGACCAGGTATGACTCATGCTGGACCAGGTATGACTCATGCTGGACCAGGTATGACTCATGCTGGACCAGGTATGACTCATGCTGGACCAGGTATGACTCATGCTGGACCAGGTACGACTCATGCTCCACCAGCTGCCAAACCCATGCCATGCTCCACAACCTGCCATATTCATGCTCCTCGTGCTCTGCTGATTCTAGACAACGTAATGACCCAACGGGTCCGGTCGACCGCACTCGTCCCCATCTTTTCTCGCGATGGGTCAAGGTTGCAGCTCTAGCGGAGCTGGCTGGAAGTAACAGATCTGGTTTCTGGTCTCGGGTCCGATCGACTCGAGAATCGAAATTTAGGTTATCTGCTGGGTACTAGCGACCTGTCGGGGGCGGGTCGGCCCAACCCGCCGGTCAGCCCACCAGATGATGCTCCGATCTGCGCGGATTGGCTACCAAAATCGTTGGTGCTACTTTAAAGCTCGTCCTCTTCTGTTCGGTGCACACCTGCACCACAGGTGCCCATGATGCCCAATGTGCCTATTATGACTTTTACATGGGGCCACCATGCCATGCAGAGTGCGCAAGGCACGCAGGCTGACATCTGATCTGAGGCGCCTCATACCTTGCCTCCCCCGTCTCACCTAGGGATGAGCAAAGGGCGAACACGAACATGTTTGTCTTCGCCCCTTGTCGAACACCCTCTTTTGCCGAACCGAACACTGTTCGGTTCGGCGAACAGTTTAGGAAAAAACAGGTGTTCGCTGTTCGCCTGTGGAGGCGTGTTCGGGCGAACCTCGAACACGTTCGTGTTCGCCACGGGGCGTTCTGCAGCAGCGCCACGAACACGAACGTGTTCGGGCGAACACCGAACACGTTCGGGCGAACGATTTAAGCTGAAAAACAAAACATGTTCGGTTCGCCTCGAACACGTTCGAGGCGAACCGAACAGGTGTTCGCCACCTTGCTCATCCCTAGTCTCACCCGCACTCCAGGTGCCCATGATGCCCGTTGACTTTCTAAATGGGGCCACCCGGAGTGGCAGGGGTGCGCAGGCTGATGTCTGAGGCGCCTCATAACTCCTCCCGTGTCTCCCGTGTCTCCCGTGCTGCCCATGTCTCTCCCCCCCGCACGTGTGCAGGTGCCCATGATGCCCATAGACTTCTACATGGGGCCACCCGGAGTGGGCAAGGCGATGATGTTGCAGGAGGAGCAGATCATGGCGCGTGAGTGAGTGGGGCAGATCATGGCGCGTGAGTGAGTGGGGCAGATCATGGCGCGTGAGTGAGTGGGGCAGTAAATGGCGTGAGTGAGTGGGGCAGATCATGGCGCATGAGTGAGTGGGGCAGATCATGGCGTGTGAGTGAGTGGGGCAGATCATGGCGTGTGAGTGAGTGGGGCAGATCATGGCGCGTGAGTGAGTGGGGCAGATCATGGCGTTTGAGTGAGTGGGGCAGATCATGGCGCGTGAGTGAGTGGGGCAGATCATGGCGCGTGAGTGAGTGGGGCAGATCATGGTGCGGGAGTGAGTGGGGCAGATCATGGCGCGTGAGTGAGTGGGGCAGATCATGGCGCGTGAGTGAGTGGGGCAGTAAATGGCGTGAGTGAGTGGGGCAGATCATGGCGCATGAGTGAGTGGGGCAGATCATGGCGTGTGGGTGAGTGGGGCAGATCATGGCGTGTGAGTGAGTGGGGCAGATCATGGCGCGTGAGTGAGTGGGGCAGATCATGGCGTTTGAGTGAGTGGGGCAGATCATGGCGCGTGAGTGAGTGGGGCAGATCATGGCGCGTGAGTGAGTGGGGCAGATCATGGCGCGTGAGTGAGTGGTGCAGATCATGGCGTTTGAGTGAGTGGGGCAGATCATGGCGCGTGAGTGAGAGGGGCAGAGCATGGCGCGTGAGTGAGTGGGGCAGAGCATGGCGCGTGAGTGAGTGGGGCAGAGCATGGCGCGTGAGTGAGTGGGGCAGAGCATGGCGCGTGAGTGAGTGGGGCAGATCATGGCGCGTGAGTGAGTGGGGCAGATCATGGCGCGTGAGTGAGTGGGGCAGATCATGGCGTGTGAGTGAGTGGGGTAGATCATGGCGCGTGAGTGAGTGGGGCAGATCATGGCGCGTGAGTGAGTGGGGCAGATCATGGCGCGTGAGTGAGTGGGGCAGATCATGGCGCGTGAGTGAATGGGGCAGATCATGGCGCGTGAGTGAGTGGGGCAGATCATGGCGCGTGAGTGAGTGGGGCAGATCATGGCGCGTGATTGAGTGGGGCAGATCATGGCGCGTGAGTGAGTGGGGCAGATCATGGCGCGTGAGTGAGTGGGGCAGATCATGGCGCGTGAGTGAGTGGGGCAGATCATGGCGTTTGAGTGAGTGGGGCAGATCATGGCGCGTGAGTGAGTGGGGCAGATCATGGCGCGTGAGTGAGTGGGGCAGATCATGGCGCGTGAGTGAGTGGGGCAGATCATGGCGTTTGAGTGAGTGGGGCAGATCATGGCGCGTGGAGTGAGTGGGGCAGATCGTGGCGCATGAGTGAGTGGGCCAGATCCTGGCGCGTGAGTGAGTGGGGCAGATCATGGCGCGTGAGTGAGTGGGGCAGATCATGGCGCGTGAGTGAGTGGGGCAGATCATGGCGTGTGAGTGAGTGGGGTAGATCATGGTGCGTGAGTGAGTGGGGCAGATCATGGCGTGTGAGTGAGTGGGGCAGATCATGGCGCGTGAGTGAGTGGGGCAGATCATGGCGCGTGAGTGAATGGGGCAGATCATGGCGCGTGAGTGAGTGGGGCAGATCATGGCGCGTGAGTGAGTGGGGCAGATCATGGCGCGTGAGTGAGTGGTGCAGATCATGGCGTTTGAGTGAGTGGGGCAGATCATGGCGCGTGAGTGAGTGGGGCAGAGCATGGCGCGTGAGTGAGTGGGGCAGATCATGGCGCGTGAGTGAGTGGGGCAGATCATGGCGCGTGAGTGAGAGGGGCAGATCATGGCGCGTGATTGAGTGGGGCAGATCATGGCGCGTGAGTGAGTGGGGCAGATCATGGCGCGTGAGTGAGTGGGGCAGATCATGGCGCGTGAGTGAGTGGGGCAGATCATGGCGTTTGAGTGAGTGGGGCAGATCATGGCGCGTGAGTGAGTGGGGCAGATCATGGCGCGTGAGTGAGTGGGGCAGATCATGGCGCGTGAGTGAGTGGGGCAGATCATGGCGTTTGAGTGAGTGGGGCAGATCATGGCGCGTGGAGTGAGTGGGGCAGATCATGGCGCATGAGTGAGTGGGCCAGATCCTGGCGCGTGAGTGAGTGGGGCAGATCATGGTGCGTGAGTGAGTGGGGCAGATCATGGCGTGTGAGTGAGTGGGGCAGATCATGGCGCGTGAGTGAGTGGGGCAGATCATGGCGCGTGGAGTGAGTGGGGCAGATCATGGCGTGTGAGTGAGTGGGGCAAATCATGGCGCGTGAGTGAGTGGGGCAGAGCATGGCGAGTGAGTGAGTGGGGCAGATCATGGCGCGTGAGTGAGTGGGGCAGATCATGGCGCGTGAGTGAGTGGGGCAGATCATGGCGCGTGAGTGAGTGGGGCAGATCATGGCGCTTGAGTGAGTGGGGCAGATCATGGCGCGTGAGTGAGTGGGGCAGATCATGGCGCGTGAGTGAGAGGGGCAGAGCATGGTGCGTAAGTGAGTGGGGCAGATCATGGCGCGTGAGTGAGTGGGGCAGATCATGGCGCGTGAGTGAGTGGGGCAGATCATGGCGCGTGAGTGAGTGGTGCAGATCATGGCGCGTGAGTGAGTGGGGCAGATCATGGCGCGTGAGTGAGTGGGGCAGATCATGGCGCGTGAGTGAGTGGGGCAGATCATGGCGCGTGAGTGAGTGGTGCAGATCATGGCGTTTGAGTGAGTGGGGCAGATCATGGCGCGTGAGTGAGAGGGGCAGAGCATGGTGCGTGAGTGAGTGGGGCAGATCATGGCGCGTGAGTGAGTGGGGCAGAGCATGGCGCATGAGTGAGTGGGGCAGAGCATGGCGCGTGAGTGAGAGGGGCAGATCATGGCGCGTGAGTGAGTGGGGCAGATCATGGTGCGTGAGTGAGTGGGGCAGATCATGGCGTGTGAGTGAGTGGGGCAGATCATGGCGCGTGAGTGAGTGGGGCAGATCATGGCGCGTGAGTGAGTGGGGCATATCATGGCGCGTGAGTGAATGGGGCAGATCATGGCGCGTGAGTGAGTGGGGCAGATCATGGCGCGTGAGTGAGTGGGGTAGATCATGGCGCGTGATTGAGTGGGGTAGATCATGGCGCGTGAGTGAGTGGGGCAGATCATGGCGCGTGAGGGAGTGGGGCAGATCATGGCGCGTGAGTGAGTGGGGCAGATCATGGCGTTTGAGTGAGTGGGGCAGAGCATGGCGCGTGAGTGAGTGGGGCAGAGCATGGCGCGTGAGTGAGTGGGGCAGATCATGGCGCGTGAGTGAGTGGGGCAGATCATGGCGCGTGAGTGAGTGGGGAAGATCAAGGCGCGTGAGTGAGTGGGGCAGATCATGGTGCGTGAGTGAGTGGGGCAGATCATGGCGCATGAGTGAGTGGGGCAGATCATGGCGCGTGAGTGAGAGGGGCAGATCATGGCGCATGAGTGAGTGGGGCAGATCAGCGCATGAGTGAGTGGGGCAGATCATGGCGCGTGAGTGAGAGGGGCAGATCATGGCGCGTGAGTGAGTGGGGCAGATCAAGGCGCCATGAGTGAGTGGGGCAGATCATGGCGCATGAGTGAGTGGGGCAGATCATGGCGCGTGAGTGAGTGGGGCAGATCAGCGCATGAGTGAGTGGGGCAGATCATGGCGCGTGAGTGAGAGGGGCAGATCATGGCGCGTGAGTGAGTGGGGCAGATCAAGGCGCGTGGAGTGAGTGGGGCAGATCATGGCGTGTGAGTGAGTGGGGCAGATCATGGCGCGTGAGTGAGTGGGGCAGATCATGGCGCGTGAGTGAGAGGGGCAGATCATGGCGTTTGAGTGAGTGGGGCAGATCATGGCGCGTGAGTGAGTGGGGCAGATCATGGCGCGTGAGTGAGTGGGGCAGATCATGGCGCGTGAGTGAGTGGTGCAGATCATGGCGTTTGAGTGAGTGGGGCAGATCATGGCGCGTGAGTGAGTGGGGCAGAGCATGGCGCGTGAGTGAGTGGGGCAGATCATGGCGCGTGAGTGAGTGGGGCAGATCATGGCGCGTGAGTGAGAGGGGCAGATCATGGCGCGTGATTGAGTGGGGCAGATCATGGCGCGTGAGTGAGTGGGGCAGATCATGGCGCGTGAGTGAGTGGGGCAGATCATGGCGCGTGAGTGAGTGGGGCAGATCATGGCGTTTGAGTGAGTGGGGCAGATCATGGCGCGTGGAGTGAGTGGGGCAGAGCATGGCGCGTGAGTGAGTGGGGCAGATCATGGCGCGTGATTGAGTGGGGCAGATCATGGCGCGTGAGTGAGTGGGGCAGATCATGGCGCGTGAGTGAGTGGGGTAGATCATGGCGCGTGAGTGAGTGGGGCAGATCATGGCGCGTGAGTGAGTGGGGCAAATCATGGCGCGTGATTGAGTGGGGCAGATCATTGCGCGTGAGTGAGTGGGGCAGATCATGGCGTGTGAGTGAGTGGGGCAGATCATGGCGCGTGAGTGAGTGGGGCAGATCATGGCGTTTGAGTGAGTGGGGCAGATCATGGCGCGTGAGTGGGTGGGACAGATCATGGCGCGTGAGTGAGTGGGGCAGATCATGGCGCGTGAGTGAGTGGGGCAAATCATGGCGCGTGATTGAGTGGGGCAGAGCATGGCGCGTGAGTGAGTGGGGCAGATCATGGCGCGTGATTGAGTGGGGCAGATCATGGCGCGTGAGTGAGTGGGGCAGATCATGGCGCGTGAGTGAGTGGGGTAGATCATGGCGCGTGAGTGAGTGGGGCAGATCATGGCGCGTGAGTGAGTGGGGCAAATCATGGCGCGTGATTGAGTGGGGCAGATCATGGCGCGTGAGTGAGTGGGGCAGATCATGGCGCGTGAGTGAGTGGGGAAGATCATGGCGCGTGAGTGAGTGGGGCAGATCATGGCGCGTGAGTGAGTGGGGCAGATCATGGCGCGTGAGTGAGTGGTGCAGATCATGGCGTTTGAGTGAGTGGGGCAGATCATGGCGCGTGAGTGAGAGGGGCACAGCATGGCGCGTGAGTGAGTGGGGCAGATCATGGCGCGTGAGTGAGTGGGGCAGAGCATGGCGCGTGAGTG